CTGTTTTATTTATATTTAAACTTAACTTATTGACATCAAGCCATTTTTTCACATTTACTAAATCTTCGTTTACTTTGTTTTCCAGTTCAGAAAAGTCATTACTAGCATAATATAAAATAGTGTCATCAGCATACATATTTATTTTACAATTTTTTAGTACTAAGGGTAAATCGTTGATGTGCATAATAAAGAGAAGAGGTCCAAGGATGGACCCTTGTGGAATTCCAGATTGAATAGGTAAAAACTCAGATGATATACCATGGACTGTGGTTTTTTGGTATCTCTCATACAGATAACTTGTGAACCAATTAAGTGTGTGTTGTCCAATACCATAATATTTTAATTTTTCAATTAGTAAATCAAAATCAACTGTGTCGAAGGCTTTCTTCAAATCTATCATTACAGAGCACACCACTTTGCCTTGTTCGAAGCTTTTCAGCCATTCATCTGTCGAATTCAGCAATGCAGTGGCTGTTGAGTGCAGTGGCCGGAAGCCAGATTGATATACATTGATTAGATTATTACTATTCAGATAGTCATATAACTGATCGAACACTACCCGTTCTAGTACTTTCGAAAGTATTGGCAGTATCGATATCGGTCTAAAATTTGTGGGTTCATTTGTTCCACCTTTATGTAAAGCACTTACTCTTGCCTTTTTCCATTCGATAGGGACACATCCAGTAGTAATAGAGGTATTTATAACATGTGTTAAAGGTTCATTAATACTGGAAATTGCCAGCTTAATCAGTTTCATCGGTATCATATCACATCCCATTGCTTTGTCATTTGATAGTTTCAACAATTGTTTTTTCACTTCATCTATGGTTACTGGGATAATTTGAAAGATATTTGTCAGCGTATGCGGTGAGAATAGCATAACATTATTGATTGCATTTATGTGCCTCGTACATTGAATGACACTAGCAAGTGAAGGACCTATTTTGACAAAGAATTCATTCAATTTTTGTGAAATTGTTTTCGTGTCATGAATTTCTTCTCCATCAATTTTTAAATATTGAATTTTCACATTTTTATTCTTGCGTGGTATCAGCATGTTAAGATTTTTCCATGTTTTCTTAACATTACCCTGCGAGTCTTTAATATTCTTTTGAAATGTTTTTCTTTTGTTCGTTCTTATACTATAAATAACGTGATTCTTGCTTTTTCGGAATGCTTTCCAATTCTCACGAGTATTATTTCGCGTTGCAGTTTCTTTCAACTTATCCCTTTCATGAATAAGATTAATTATTTCAGCATTTATCCAGGGTTTCCGATCTTTTTTTACACGACTTTTTCTGACCGGAGCATGTAAATTACATAATGTTGAAAACTTTGTCTGGAATTCATGTAGCGAAGAATCGGCATCAGTACATGTAAAAACACTTTGCCAATCAATGTTTCCTAGATCGTCACAAAAGTCATTTACATTGAAATTCTTATAAGTTCTATATGTCCTATAAACATGGTTAGGAAATGATTTGCGAACTCGACCCCATACAATATATACAAGTGAGTGGTCACTTATTCCTAAATGAATGACGCCACTTTCAACCACTTTCTCACAGTTAGAAGTATAAATTAAATCAATAAGGGTAGATGAAAGCGGTGTTACCCTCGTGGGTTCTTTGATCATTTGGCTTAGAGAATAATTTTGGCAAATTTCAAGTAATCGTTTTGTGTAGCACGATAAAGGGTCTGCAAGTATATTGCAATTGAAATCTCCTAAAAATATGATATCCTTTCGTTCCTCGTCAATTTTTAACAAAATATTCTCAATGGCTTTAAATAGTTCGATACTTGTTCCAGGGGGTCTATACCAAGCTAAAACGATCATAGGTGAAGACATAGGTTGCTTCACTTCAACAGCAACAAGTTCGATATCATTTACCAGAAGATCTGATCTTAGTTTGTGGCTAAGTTTATTTTCATTAACGTATATTGCAACCCCTCCGCCATTCTTATTACGGTCTTTCCTATAAATACAGTAATCATGTATACCTATTTGCACGTCCTTTATTTCACTGCTTAATCTTGTTTCATTTAATGCAATAAGATCAAATTTAAAATCATTAACCATCAATTGAAGATTGTCAATATTAGATAACAGAGTTCTAATGTTTAATTGAGCTATTCTTATTCCATGCTTCTTTTTTATTCTCAGACAATTATCTTTAATATTTTTAGGCAACAATTTGGTTTTTTCCGTTCCCGGACTACATGTACAAGTATCTAAATCAGAGTCATATACATTGCCAATATTAATGTCTATTTCGTTTTTGTCAGCAAAATCGGATTCACTGGCATCAATTTCATCGAAGTCACCTCCATCGTCAAAGTCTAATTCTATTTCTTCACTGAAGTTTGCCTCGTTGTCATCGAAGCCAGTTTCAATATTACCATCAAAATCGCTGATATCGTCGTCATTAGTGTCTTCTTCATTGTTGTCATCACTACGAATAAAAGAAAATTCAGTCATTTGCTTCAAATCTAGGATATTATGGACTACATGGTCGTTTAACTGAAGAGTGTTATTATCGGCGCACACTTCTTGGCCATTATGTTAAATTTGGTTTATTTCTGAACAGTATTTAGCTTTATGGCCGTAGTTATTACACTTGTGACATTGTATTACCGTATCATATCGGCAGGTTGATCGAGAATGGTTGTATTCACCACAGTTGTAACATCCAAAGTATGTGCTGGAGGAGCCTTGTCGATGGTATTCGTCACGCTTCACTGCATCACTGTAGAGAGGATACTGATGAGCCAAACTCTGATGTGGTAGGGAATCATAGTGACCATCATCATCATATTCAGCAGCTGTCATCGTATGTTGTAGATCATCATTCATTTGCCTGTAGAGTGGATATGTCGTTCTCGAAGTTGTTAATTCTGGGAAATCCTGGTCAAAGGCATGGTAAAGACCAACCGAAGTCTCCCGATAACGAGGCTGGCGGATACCTCGTACGTGGCCGATGAGATTCCGTGCAAACATCCTCACACCTTCGTCGTTTAAATGGACACCATCATATCCAATATGGTACTTGGAGTTGATGTTTGCGTTGTCTATGTAGCGCCATCCATGCTTTGCCTTGAGACCATACAGGCGATCGTTGGTCTCTTGTAGCTTCATATCTACTGTAGATCCCTCATTTCTAGGTACAATGGAGCTGATAGTTATAATCTGTACCGATGGACAGGATCTAATGAGGTGTAATCCTGTAGATTCAATCATTGTAGCTATCACATCGGGTTGACTGTCTCTTAGACTATTTGTCCCGACGTGAATGATGACTTCTGAAACTGCTTGATCTTTGGCAATTTGTGTTGCAATTTCACATATGTCTTCAGCTTTCGCTCCGGGGAGTGTTTTACAGGATATTCGTTTGGAGCGAGACAGTTTTAAGGGGTTTATTCTACGAAGCATTGAGTCTCCGATTAACAATACTTCAGCCTTTTGTTTGCTCTTGAAGAGTTTACTCTGTTTATTCTTATAGTCTTGAAGTTGATGAGTCAGTGTTATTGTGGTTTTGTTCGGAGTTTGGTCATTTCCATTTGTTCCCATCTGTAGATTTTCAATTGTTTTCTGAGGCTCATGCTCGTTCACTGTTTCTCTGCTGTCGGTGGCTACGGGGTCATTTACCTCTCGTTCCCGGGTAGGAGGGTCAGTGTTTATCTCTTTCTCTTTCGCTTTCGGTTGACATTCACTAACATTAGAGGAGCTCTTCTCATTATCCATGTTCCGCTTGATTATGTTCTCGCATTCAAACTTTTCACTACTCGATTCTGGAGTTGGATTAACTTGGACACTCTTTTTGATGTCGATTAAGGATAGTTGGCATTCAATAGCATCCAGTCTCTCTGGAATTGCCACGCATCGTTCACACAGGGGCTTATCATAATCGCTCTCTGTAGGCGATCCACACCAAATGCATAGAGGGCTTTCATGAACGTCGATCTCTATCGGGCATTCTATTGTTTGCGGCTTATTGGTCAAACTATCATCTTGTTCAACATGGCTGTCTTCTTCCTCGTTTCCAATGTAAACATCAGATAATAAGTTTTCATTAATACCAACTGTCAGGGCAAAGTGTTTGGAGATATTTTCCTCTAAATTTGGGAGAATGCGGCACAATTCACATTCAATGAATTCAGTTTCATTAGTGTCCCTTCCTTGGGTAAGGTACGAGATGCGAAGGTGGGAAATAGCTATTGATAAGCTTGATTTGGTAATATATTTGGGCAACTTGTATTTAAAGTTCGGATGTCCTGGTATACTCTTACATGTGTTCATCTTAAGTTGCTTAGCCATATTTCACGGTATACGTTCATAGTTCAAGTAGAAAAAGAATATATTGTCAAATAACTTTCTCACCAATATCAGCATTTCATCGGCCTATCTCAGTTTCAATGACGTCAATATTCCCCATTTGGGAGTGTAGTTTCAATGATTACACAGGTGGGACTATGGTGATATCCAATCATTCGAACGGAGTGTAATCGCAATGCAACAGCACAAACTCAAAACACTTTTCCGGAGTGAGTATCTTTCCAATCGAGTAAAATTTCCAGTTAATTTCCAAATCAATACATTGATGTCTCTCTGATATCTCTCTGACGATGATATTTTCACAAAATGTGTCCTTTTATGAATGTTTTCCTTCCAAAACAAGACGAAACTTAGCGAAAGGTACTATAAACGTAACCGACAACAGTTATGAGCCATGCATTGTGGCTCAAGGCATGGGCACACAGAAGATTTTGTTATGTTGGGAACCGGGGTAAAATGCAATAAATTATTGAAAAATTATTGCATTTTCTGTTTTTTTGTTTATTTATGGAAACTGCCCCCTACCCTAGCCCCCACTACGTACAGTCATGGTTCAGTGACAAAGCAATGGCCTTGTAACTGTGAGGCCCTGTCACGTGAGAGACTTTTTTTTAATTTTTTATGATTGCTACGGACACATAAAATAAAGGGAAATAGAGCTTGTTAATTAAAGTTAAATTGTAATGTTTAATTTCCAATCATTTCTCCTGTTTCACAGACTTTGTTTTGGCTTCAACAATAATACAGTATGTAAATAAACTTATCTTTAACAAAAATAATTCTGGATGGGTAGTTTCCCGTCTGACATCGACGCCGGTCACAGCTCGTGTCGTCCACTTGGCCCTGGCCTCCGCAGACGGTGTCTTTGCTCCACTTGGCCCCGGTAGTCGCTCCGGATTCTTGGCCTCCGCAGACTGAGATACGATGGTGTGTGTCCCGATCCCAGACAAGAGCTAGCCCCCGACGAAAGATATGGAGAACCGGGTGGCAGTTGAGCTAGCCTCTCGTCCCGACGTGGAATTACCCTCAGATATTGACTTTAACTGCCGACTAACATGACGTTTAGTCTATTATAGCTTAGGTGGTTCTCCTCGATTTCAGAAAATCCACCTCTTAATATACCCTGCGGTTACTAAGTAAATTCTAAAAACATGACTACAAATATTTGGAGAGGAAATGATCTTTCAAAGGAAAATACTTGTATTAAAAAGAGGCTTCCTAAATGTGTGCTAAACAACAGATAAAACATGTACACTGAATTAATGACTTCCCCCAGGCCTATTCATAGGGAACAATACATCTTGGCCTGAAAAGAAAACATCTGACCTTAACATCTTCACCTGACTTTAACAAAGAACACTCCAGACCAGAGAGCGAAACAAATAAATTTCTTTCCTGACAATATCCCCAACCTTAAGATATAATTAGGGGATCTAACTTATATCCACTATAAAAACATTTATTTGAAAAGCTTTTTAAGAATAAGAATATAACATACATATCCTACTGGAAACACTAATGATTCAATTCTCTTTTTTTTTACAGTACATGTATGTATAAAAACCAAAGAACTATAAACCACAGCATCCAAACCCGTGTTTAAAGCAAGTTTGACTGTTATGCTATGAGTTCTGTCTCTCCATGAAAAACATGGCTTACATTTTCTTTTGAATATGATTAGGAAATCATACTCCTGGTATGAAATATGTATCATTATTTTGTTTGATCATTTTCTAAAAAGTATAAGCATATTAAAAAGACAAGAGATTATGAAACGGGCAATATAAATTCAGATTGCTCAATCTATGTTTGCACTCTGAATTTACTTTTGCAGTTATTAAGCAACTTTTCTATATTCACTATAACCAAACTGTCATCTGAAATGCACTATATTGATTCATTTCTTGCATATAACATTCAACCGATAACAACTTTTCATGCTTGTCTTGATTATGGTATATGTATTTTTTTATCATAAAATCATGAAGCTTGTTTCTTAAACTACGTTCACAATCTTAAAGCAACCTAACTACATCCTAACGGCCCTAAACTAACCTATACTAATTTACAACTAAGCCCTAACAGACAATGTTTCCTTAACGTAACTAAAGCTTAACCAACTAAACATAACGGCGACCGCGATTTGCTGGTTCCTGTTTTCCTGAAAGAAATGAGAAAGCTTCAGTAGTCATTTGCTATACAGCATAAACACATACAAATAAAATGGATCATTATAAATTTTTCCTTGTTTGGTTATTCGCCTTTACAACAATTTCACTATATTTTACAATAGTCTGCTCATGAGGTCAGCCCTGGTCTGAACAGCTTGTAATCTAATACCGCCCTCATCAGAACCAACGCCCTCAGCGGTAGACTTCAACTCATCTGAAAATTCTCTCTCCAACTTCGAATCTTCCAAACCAGTGACCTCCGGCACGACCTCCGGCGTGACCTCTATGTCAGCCTTAGGAACCCAATGGATATTAGGCTCTTTTGGTGGACGAGCCCCTCTCACATTACCAATGATTACATCATTCAAACATTTAGGCATACACACTGCCACAACCTCTCCTTCGAAATAAGGCGAATCAACAACGATTCTTGCCAAGGGGAAACGCCTTATCGTTTCATCAATTAACCTGACTCTAACATGACGACCTGTGAATTGCTCTTTCCTAACTAACGCTTCTCTCACAACACAAGTACTACAACCTGAATCGCGTAGCACGGAAACGGGAACATTCCCAGGCATCAACCTCCCAGACACGACAGGCATATCATTGACCATCGCCTCAATATCATCGTAAGCCATTCCAACCTCTTCAATGACTTCACTATCGACCACCCACTCAGCAATGCAAGCTGCTGTCAACTCTACGGCCTCAGATTCAATCTCACCCTCATTAGGCTTATTATGAACAGCATCTACCCCGGGGACTTCATCACCCCCTAACAACATCATACCCTGAGCCGCCATAGACTTCACTAACAGGGGACACTCCCTCTTCATGTGATTGGGATTCCCACACATATAACACCCCTTCTTTTGGAAGGGCTTACTACCTTCCACTTTCTTTGCCCTAGCTTGAACCTCGCCCAATTTTGCATTAGTCTTATCTACTTGATTAGGGCCCTTACTACCCCCTTCCGGATCTGATCGGCTTCTTTCGGATTCCTCTCCACCAAAGAAAACATGAGGTCCGTGTGCACTAACATAAACCTCTGCACACTCCACTGCCTCGTCAAACTTCGTGCATTTCCGTTCCCCGATGAACCTAGCAACCTCTTTTGGACAATCAATCAAAAATTGCTCTCGCAACATCAGATCCTCAAAAGCAGCCCTACTATTGTCTATCTTAGACGCACCTATCCAATTATCAAAATGACCTTTCATCCGATTAGCAAACTGTTTTGGGCGTTCTGAATTCAAAGGCCTAACAGATCTGAAACTACGCCTATACCCCTCCTCAGTGAGATTATAAGATTGCATTAACTCACTCTTAACCACGGTATATTTCTGGCGATCATCTGTACTCATCCTATTCACTACATCTAAGGCCTTCCCTTTCAAATTAGAGATTAGATGTAGTACCCACACGTCATTAGGGATTTTTTGACTTTTCAGGATCATTTCAAACTTGGTAATGTAAGCATCAAATTTATCGTGGGCATCATCAAATTGACCGACAACAAGTTTAACCCCACCTAACTGAGCTACATTATTTCCTTCATCCTTACGCAACTGTGCTAACTTGAGCTCATGTTCACGCTCTCTTTCTCTTTCTACCGCCTGACAGCGTTCAGAAACGAAACTACTCAACCCGCCTCCACTAAGACCTATTTCCCTACCTAAAGTAGAAAACTCTTTAATTTGCTCGACACTAGCCATAGCGACTAAACAACGATTCCAAAACTACAAAAACCTAGGCTTTAACACCGGCAACAAATGCCAACCCCTAGTGCCTTCTAACAAGCACACTAGAATGTATCTCCCAATGAGCATACAATTAATTCAACCATGCGAAACACCGGTCCGCTTCACACCAGACAATTAACCCCTAGTGCCTTCTAACAAGCACACTAGAATTTCTCCTAACGAGAACACAAATTTCAACCATGCGAAACACCGGTCAACTTCACAACATGAACATTCAAAGCCTATAGTAGTTCAAACCTGGAATCTCTAATCGAGCAAAATATCATGCATAATGCACAACCCGCCTAAGCACTATCCTAGCCTATAGGCGTTACCAAGGGCTTAACCTTGGGGAGAATCCACTAAACTCTTGACATTATTGCTTTTATCAACCTAGCATTGATAATTTCTTTTAACCTGTATTTCAACCCCAAACATCAATTACACATCAAATTCGTATGCGGGGAAAAGAGGGGGAGAAATATCTAATTCCCTTTTTGAAATTATTTATAAGTAGCAATGTCTCGGTGGGACCTCCAAATTGTCACGTGAGAGACTTTTTTTTATTTTTTATTATTGCTACGGACACACAAAATAAAGGGAAATAGAGCTTGTTAATTAAAGTTAAATTGTAATGTTTAATTTCCAATCATTTCTCCTGTTTCACAGACTTTGTTTTGGCTTCAACAATAATACAGTATGTAAATAAACTTATCTTTAACAAAAATAATTCTGGATGGGTAGTTTCCCGTCTGACATCGACGCCGGTCACAGCTCGTGTCGTCCACTTGGCCCTGGCCTCCGCAGACGGTGTCTTTGCTCCACTTGGCCCCGGTAGTCGCTCCGGATTCTTGGCCTCCGCAGACTGAGATACGATGGTGTGTGTCCCGATCCCAGACAAGAGCTAGCCCCCGACGAAAGATATGGAGAACCGGGTGGCAGTTGAGCTAGCCTCTCGTCCCGACGTGGAATTACCCTCAGATATTGACTTTAACTGCCGACTAACATGACGTTTAGTCTATTATAGCTTAGGTGGTTCTCCTCGATTTCAGAAAATCCACCTCTTAATATACCCTACGGTTACTAAGTAAATTCTAAAAACATGACTACAAATATTTGGAGAGGAAATGATCTTACAAAGGAAAATACTTGTATTAAAAAGAGGCTTCCTAAATGTGTGCTAAACAACAGATAAAACATGTACACTGAATTAATGACTTCCCCCAGGCCTATTCATAGGGAACAATACATCTTGGCCTGAAAAGAAAACATCTGACCTTAACATCTTCACCTGACTTTAACAAAGAACACTCCAGACCAGAGAGCGAAACAAATAAATTTCTTTCCTGACAGGCCCCAGGATCAAAACCGTGTCGATGTGATGTGTTGTATTAGTCACGCAATTATAGCATACACATGCTCTAGCAGTCACGCAAAACACACATTTGCAAATTATTAATCAATAAAATCTGAGAATGTATACTTTTATCTAGATCTATTATTTTTAAATCATTTTAAAAATAATTCCATAAATTGGGGTAAAACAAAAATATTCCATCTATATGAGCCACAGTGTACGTATAAAAAAAGAAGAAACTAAATAAAGATTCAATAACAATCAAACTTGGTAATGTAAATAATAATAATAATAATACACAACATTTATTAGGCGCTTAATACGGATGTTTCTAAGCGCACCATTGTCTGACTAAAAATTACCAACCAAAATTCATAATAAACACACAAATTATAAATCTGTTCTTTATTCAATAGAACATGCATATATAATAATAAAAATGAAAATGAGATCAAACAAAAGATCAAACAAACAAGGAACAAGATGGTGTACACCTCCTAGGACCGACTCACAACTGCGCCCGTGTATAATATAATTTATGAATTAAAAAGGTGCGTTTTCAGCAAGGACTTAAACTGGTCAAGAGAATGAGTATTATGAATATGCGCTGGTAATTTATTCCAAAGGATAGGGGCAATCACTGAAAAAGCTCGATCGCCATATTTTGTAACAGTACGAGGTCCAAGAGTTTACTGCAAGGTTGATGATGATCGAAGGTGTCTTAAAGGGCCACTCTAACCCAACTAACATAGCCTTTCAATACACCTCTACTTTAATATTCCAGCCTCTGATTTTTCAGAAAATCTCTAAATTGACCAAAAAATGGTAATAGCCAACTATGTGTAAACTGTGTGAACATTATGTGTTCACATCGTTGTCACAGTGTGGAGTTTCAGACCATGTGGTTTACCACATATTATCCACGTAAACTTACATACTAAAAACAGAGTACCACATATTTACCACAGTGGTATATGTATTGAACCTTGTGTTAACTCTGTGTTCACAGTATTGTCACAGTGTGAGGTTCATATCACGTGGTTTACCACATAGTCGTACACATTTAGCACAGAGTGACACATACCTACCACAGGGTGGTATGTACTGCACTTTGTGTAAACTCTGTGTTCACAGTATTGTCACAGTGTGGGGTTTGGTTTACTACATGATCGGTCATATTTAACACAGAGTGACACATATTTACCACAGGGTCCCCCGGCCCCCCCCCCCCCACTCAGGTTTCGAAATGACCGCATGCGTGTTGCCAAAATGTCCTTTTCGTAACAAAAGAAAAAGGTCTACCCGTATGGACTTTACACACCGGACTTTTGCTGAAAAGGGGGGGGGGGGGGGGTGCTGAAAAAGGCTCGTATACAAAAGAAAAAGGTCGAGCCGTATTGACTTTACACACCGGACTTTTGCTGAAAAGGGGGGGGGGGTCGGTTGGAACACGCATATGCGTACCCTAAATAACACTGAGTGGGGGCCGGGCAGGGTCCTTATTAGGTCCGCTCCTTTTTATTTTATACATCAATGATCTCAAAAACTCTTCTGAAATCTTATCATTTATTCTTTTCGCGGCTGACTCCAATTTATTTTGTTCTCACAAAAACCCAGAAACACTTCTAAACACTGTAAACACCGAATTGAATTGCGTTTTTAAATGGATCCAAGCAAATAAATTGTCGCTTAATATGAATAAAACATATTTCATGCTATTCAGTAATTGTGTATCATCCTTACCAGTTCATATCAAAATCAATAACGTAACTATCAACCAGGTTGAATCAACCAAATTCTTAGGTGTCTACATAGACAGTAAACTAACATGGAAAGTTCACATCAACTGTTTATGTAAGCTGTTGTCAAGGTACTCCGGTGTAATGAATAAGTTGAAACCTTTTGTACCTCCTCATGTCACGCTCTCTTCTACCTTGATCTTGCCTTATCTTAATTATTGTATACTCGCATGGGGAAATAGCTCTATAACCTTTATGGACAAAGTTAATGTTGTACAAAGACGGGCTGTTAGAATAATAAATAATGTTGGTTTTCTTGCCCATACAAATATGCTTTTCTATATTTGTAATATTCTTAAAATATCTGACTTGCACTTATATTATATTTGAATATTTATGTATGAACTATCAAAAGATAATTTACCAGATGCTTTCGTCCCCCTTTTTCAACGCAATAATACTATACATTCTTACCCTACTAGACAGTCAAACCATTTTCATCTCCCTCGAACTCGCACCGTTTTTGCTAACAAAACAATTATTTTTACTGGACCCAAGTTCTGGAACAGCCTGAATAATGAACTAGTTGAAAGCCCCTCCATTAATTTATTTAAACGAAAGCTCAGGTGTTTCCTTTTAAGTAAGTATGTATGAAAGTAATGTTGATGTCGCGCTGGATCGTACAGGTGGTCGTACAGGTGGTTATACAGACTTTGTTTTTTGTTATTTTACAATGCCATTGATTTCATCAATTTGCTTTCTCTTATTCTTCTACTTCTTTTTCGTATTCCTCTTTTTCCTCTTTCTTCCCTTCTTCACCTTCTCCTACTTATCACTATCATATTATTCTCTTTACTCTTTATTTCTATTTTTCGTTTCTTCTCAAATTCACTCTCCTTGTACGTCTTTAGAAACTCATACCATACTACTCCGTTTTCGCTTCCTATAAATAGCTTTTAAATCCAGACCTACTATATCGTGTTACTCAGTATGGGAGCCTATTCACATACGAGCTATGCTTTTCATTTAGGCTCCCCACATTTTACATTGTTCTACCTAGCCTGTTATATATATACATGTTTCGAAATTTCGTACTTATTTTCCGTACATTATATTTGATTTGAAATCTTTATTTTTTTTTTCTTGTGTGAAATCTATTCTTATAATAATATACGCCTGTATAGAAAAGAAAAGAATATAAACTGTTTTTCTATGTAAAATGTGGAATAAATAAAACTTCAAACTTCAAACTTCAAACTACTGAACAATGTGTAAACTATGTGTTCACAGTATTGTCACAGTGTGGGGTTCAAATCACGTGGTTTACCACATAGTCGTACATATTTAACACAGAGTGACACATATTGCTCCGATTGTCTCATTTTCGCTCGCTCGATCACTGCAGCACAAACATAGCTCGTTCGACGTCACTACCAAACTAGCCAATCAGCTGTCAATGACGTCATATTGAATGCGGCGGCAAATATATTTTGTGAAATTATCGAGAAATTGACTATTTCTAATTGCAAACTAGTTTTAATTTTGGATGGAAAAGCAGCCATTGTTATCTTGACATTCATTGAAGTCATCAGAATAGGGTTAGTTACTTCTCAGATGATTCAAGAGGTCCATTTTGTAGATAATTTTTTAATTTCTTAGAATGTTCCACTGTGTTGCAGGGTACCGGGTGTATGCCATTGGGTGTGATGTGTTCGCGCGCTATAAGTACAGGCCACCGCGTCGGGTGTATTCTCGTACTGATGTAGGTGCAAAGCTAGAATGGCTACCACGCCCACTTCCCTCTCTATGCCTTTCTGAAAATTCCTTTCCTTCTCAATACAATAACTTTCACCTGCCTAAGTTATTCAAACCATACCGCCTCGCCACTTCCATTACGTAATCATTAAAAGGATCCGCATATACAACATTTTCCTGCTATACGTTGTACTGCAGGAAAATACAAATCTCCCTGGTATACCTTACAGTCCAAACGATGCACCAAGTGCTGAGGCTGTCGAGTGACCGGGTCTGAACCCAAACTGTACTTCTGTTAATACATCATTAAGAATTAAAAAGTCATAAAGGTGCTTGTGAACCATTCTTTCTATAAGTTTACTGACAGCTGGCAGTTTAGATATCGGACGGTAATTAGTCATGGAATTAACATCTCCTTTCTTAAACAAGGGGAACACTTTTAGTATTTAAAAAAAAAGTGAAACCCTGTCCGCGATGTCATTAGTCATGTAAGCTTCTTACAATAGCTTGACAAGATTGTCATTATTCATGTTTTCTTAGAGGAGGGAGTATTTCGTTGCTTGGAGATATTTCAATACATCTAGTTTGATTATAATATCACCACAATCGCCTTGTAAGACATGTAGAAGGATACATAATGAAACCGACTCTGCATCTATTCCGTTGCGTTGACAATCAGCCGTAGACGAGAGTCTTCATGCATGGCTGATTGTCAACGAAACGGAGTTAAGTCTTTTGTCAAATCTGCTTTTTGCTACGGCAGGCACCCAGTGAAAACGAATTCGTTTGTTAAAATTATGAAAATGTAAGGGCTACTTTAAACAAACAGAACTTTGTTATTCCTGGCTCATTTTTCTTGATTGAGTTATCATATGAAAGAGCAGAAAGCGAACTTTCTAGAAATTTCTTTGAAATTCAGATACCGCCCGCCAAATTACTTTTTGGTTTCCTTCCTTCAAATTTCTTTTAATCACTCATGCGTGAAATAGCATCAACTGAAAGAGGAGACTCTAAGCTTTCCAAATATGTATCATTCATTAATTATGGTTGTGATTAAGTTATGATAAAACATCGATATTTCTCGGTTTCGTTTTTTCTGGGACGCACTGTATATACAAAATACAATAATACTCTTTTGAAATGGCAGTTGAACTTGCAGACAAATGATTTCAAGGGAGGAGTCCTCGAATTCGTTTCTCCTGAAATAAGTCAATGATTCTGCAATATAAACAGCAACGCCTCCGCCTGAACGGTTTCTATCTCTACGTTCAATACGTAGGCCTTCTATGAGAAGTTCGTTATCACCGATTGTATCGTCACAAAAAGTTTCGTTTAAACATAGCAGGTCAATTTTGTTATCCGACAATATGTAACGAAGAGAGTCAACTTTGTTCACAAGTCCGCGAATGTTTAACAGAAGGAATTTCGTTCCTTTAGACAATGGAGGGGCTTTACCATCCGTAAGTAGTATATTTTTGCTACAAGATTTATGCTTACAAAGACTACAATTCATATTAACTGACTTTGAGAACTCATTGCTATCATCGAAATCGTCAGAGTTAGTCAAAGTTAATCGTTGTTGATGAACATCATTGATGTCTACTACGAACTCGGGTTCAGTAGCCTCCTTGCTGTGTTCAGGGAGTCCATCCAGTCGCGGGGGAAGATCCGATCCTTTGCTTTCCGCTGATGGTTGGTGCGGCGATAATCTGGGAAATGATGATCAACTAGTTGTGATGAGTTCTGACGTAGGTGGCGTATGATGTTTTTCGCTAGTTCGATAACTCCATCGGCCTGTAGGTGGATATCGGGATAGATGGCGCTGTTGTCAACCAACTTCCAACCTCTCTCATTGTTCAGAAGTTTCAGCTGTACGTTAACCGCATCGACCTTCTTCCGCTGGCTTTGTGTCTCTGGGTGACGATGTATGATGCTTGATAGAGTGATTGCACTCTTCGGTCTTCGTCACAATTTCTTCACAAAGTGACGAGATCTTAGTAACGATTTGGACCTCATCATCTGAATGTAGGTTGTTTGATCCAAGATGTAGTATTACTTCCTTAGGTGCGTTATCCTTGGAAAGATTATAGACGCTCTCCGATACGTCCTGTATTTTCGCACCAGGGAAAGATTTGCATTTCACATTGATCCATTGAGACATTTTAGATGGTTGGATGTTCTTAATCATTGAATCTCCTATGAACAAAACATCCACTTTGTTGGGGGAAGCCTCGGTAATTTGTACTAAATCGGGCGGATTTGAGTTGGCCATCATTTCTGTATGTTGTTGCTTCTTTTTACTGTGATAGTCGGCTAACTGCTGATCAAATGACATACCACTTGGGCAATTAGTTGTCTGAACAGGGTCATTTAACGAGGCAATGTTCAGTGCAACGGGATCGTGTGTGGCTATTCTCTCAGCATTATCAAGATTCACTGATGTGGAGTTTTGGATAGTGTCATTTAACGAGGCATTGTTTACTGCAAGGGGGTCGTGCGCAGGGGCGTCGCTAGACCTTTTTCAGTGGGGGGGGGGGGGGGGGGGGGGTGTAGAGGCCAACGATTACCGACAAAACTAGCCACCAATTACCGACAAAATTAAATGTCCCAATATCTACAAATTTAGCGCTATAAACCCGGAGCCGAAGGCTAAATTGTTTTTCCTATGGATTATCTATAGTACATGCGTATGCGCAAATGGTCATTTTCCTCGACGACATAAAATATACGAATTATTTCGTCAACTTAGTCAGCATCATAGCTATATATTTTAATACAGGCGCGGAGCTAGGATCTTATTTTAGGGAGGGGCGATGGTGAGTAAGCGAATCACTTTTGCGCGCTCATTAGGGGGTGTGGGTGATAGGCCTCCCGCGCGGAGCGCGGAAGCTTAGACGTTCCGTTGAATTATTAGGAAAAGAAGACGATTTATTGTACCGTTCTCGACTGTTCATCCTTATCTGAATTCAGTTTCTCCCCCTCCCGCGCAAAGCGCGGAAGCTTTGACGTTTCATTAAATTATGAGAAAAAGCAGACGATTCGTTGTACTGTTCTCGACTCTTAATCCTTATCTGATTCAGTTCTCCCGCGCGAAGCGCGGAAGTTTTGACGTTTCATTAAATTATTAGAGAAAGTAGACGATTCGTTGAACCGTGCTCGTCTCTTAATCCTTGTCTGAATGAAGTTTCTCCCTCCCGCGCAAAGCGCGGAAGTTTTGACGTTTCATTAAATTATTAGAGAAAGAAGACGATTCGTTGTATCGTGCTCGTCTCTTAATCATTGTCTGAATGAAGTTTCCCCCTCCCGCGCGAAGCGCGGAAGTTTTGACGTTTCATTAAATTATTAGAGAAAGAAGACGATTCGTTGCACCGTTTTCGACTCTTATTTATCCCTATTTATCTGAATTCAGTTTCCCCTCTCGCGCGAAGCGCGGAAGCTTTGAGGTTTCCTTAAATTATTAGAGAAAGCAGATGATTCGTTGTACCGTTTTCGACTCTTAATAAGCCCTATTTGTCTGAATTCAGTTTCCACCTTTACCGCGAAGCGCGGAAGCTTTGACGTTTCATTAAATTATTAGAGAAAGAAGACGATTCGTTGCACCGTTTTCGACTCTTAATAAGCTTTATTTATCTGAATTCAGTTTCTCCCTCTCGCGCGAAGCGCGGAAGCTATGATGTTTCCTTAAATTATTAGTGAAAGCAGATGATTCGTTGAACTGTTTTCGACTCGTCTAAATGAAGTTTTCCCCTCCCGCGCGAAGCGCGGAAGTTTTTTGCGTTTCATCAAAATATAGAGAAAGTAAGACGATTCGTCGTACCGTTGTTGACTCTTAATCCTTGTTTGAATTTAGTTTCCCCGAAAATTTTAAACCTCTGATTTCTTTAGCTGATATTATAGGAAAGTGAAACTTCGAGAAAATACAAGTATTGTAGTTGTAGCCACTCTCGAAGTCGTCACAGCGGATAAACAGTCACAGTTCGAAGGGGAAAAAACTTGTCGGCCGACCGACAATATACATCTCACCGACTTCAAACTTATGCATTGATATAGTAGGCCTACACGAGGATTGAGCAAGAATACCGACACAGCTGTCCCCGACACAGCAACATATTTACCCGTGTCTTTTTTGCTCCCTCGGCGAGACGACTCAACCCAACAACCCCTCTCTCTTTTACACCCACTCCTCCTCTCTCAGGCTCTTACCTCTCCTCTCTCTCCTCTCTTTCATCCCCCGTTTCTTTTGTTTCACTTTTCTCTCTTTTTTCTTCTTTTTTTCCTTTTCTTTCTTTTCTTTCTTTTCCTTTCTTTCCTCTCCTCCCTCTCTTTTTTTCTTCTCTTTTCTTTCCTTTCTTTTCCTTTCTTTCCTTCCTTTTCTTTCTTTTCCTTTCTTTCTTTTCTTTTCCTTTTCTTTTCCTTTTCTTTTTTCTTTTCTTTCCCTTTTCCTCTCTTTTTTTCCCTCCCCCTTTTCTCTTTTTTTCCCGACGGCAGCGCAATTTTACCGACAATATCCTGACAGGTGGGGGGTGTCGCACCCCCCACACCCCCCTTTGGCGACGCCCCTGGTCGTGCGTTGCTGCCCCCTCTGCATTGTCAAGATTCACTGATGTGGTGTTTTGAATGAGGGCATCAACGGTCTTTCCTATAGACACTATCTGAGCCTTCAATTGTGATAGTTGGGGCTCAATTAGATGGATGGAATGAGTACAAACTTCCGATTGGCTTTGTTGCTGACTCGGTGGTACACTGTGATTATCAGCTTTAAGCACATCATGGCTGCCATGATCAATGGATCTGTTTGACAAGGAATCCGTTTGACAACCGTTGTCATGGAGAATCGGCTCATGTACTTTAGCACTGTCAATGTCATGGCGGCCATTTTTTACGGCTAAAATACTATAATGACGGGCAATATCCGAGTTTAAGTGAAGATATATGGATCCCAATTCACATGTGAGATAATCCACCAGTTCATCGTCGAGTACCGCAGTAGTGATATCATTTTTTAGTAAATGAGACAAGATGATGTTTATACTAGAAATGGTTGCTTGTTTTGGCATTTTACATCTGAAATGATCGCAGAGCCAGGGGATCCATAACACGTATTAGTCTTCAATTTGGAGATGGGCTTAGTTTTATAAATTTTTCAGGATCACGTTTAATCTCACTGAATAAAATGAATTAGTTAATAATTCAGGCAAGAATAAAAGGTAAAGCAAGATTACCAATTCAGGATGTCGGTAAGATCCGGCGATGATAACGTAAAAAAACATCCATGCACATGGGACTATGATGAATGTTGCTCGGCTATATGCTCTCCAAATCGTTTAAAAATAAAACAGGCAAGAAGTCCATATCCATCACCAAAATCCAAACTAAAATAACAGTGAAGATGTTTACAGGGCAATAAAGAACACCAAATATTGATAATCGTAGATATTAGTTGATAAAATTGGTCGCAAACTGAAGAAAACTGAAGAAAACAGGAGAGCTCTGTTCGTGCGTTATATCTTCGTATAAAATTCAGCAAATATTGGGGTTATGTGCTCAAATTTTCTCGATAGAGTATCAAGCCTTGCAGCAGTATTCTGAATTCTTTGAAGTGGAAGTAGGTATGAATGAGGAAGACCGGGAAAAAAACGAATTACAATATTCAAGGTGGGAGGATACAAAGGCATGTAATTTTGCAGTTGCGGGTCGGTCAAGTAAATAATCGGAGAGTTTCTTCAGCAAATTTTGTGGGTGTTATTATTGATGATAACCTCTCTTGTTCTAATCATAGTGGTGACATTTGCAACAAATTGTCTGGAAGTATTGGTGTCATGTTCAGGTTGAAATTTCTCCCTAAAAGTAGTCTCAAATGATATACTATGCAATTGTGTACCTTTACTTATATTATTGTCTGGGGAAATGCTGCTTTCATTCACCCAGATATATTGTTTAAATTACAAAAAACGTTCAATAATAATTATCACTCATTCTTCTTTTCTTGCCCGTACCAATCAAATATTTTACTCATTAAACATGTTGCAATATAGGGATGAATATTTATTACAAGTAGATGTTTTTTTAATGTATTTATCATTACACTCTTCTTCCTGATTCCATTCCCGAATTGCTTATACTAATATTCATAGTTATAATACTAGAAATGCTCAAAATTTTCATTTACCATTGACTTGTACAGTAAGAAACCAAACCATAATATTTTTTTTCCAAGGACCGTTTCTGTGCAATACTTTTCCTCATTACATACATAATTCTGCTAGTGTAAATGCATTCAAATGTAGTTATAGGAAATTTCTTTTGGGTTAATTGCAATGATCATTTGAATTCAAGACATATTTTATTTGTTTGTTTGTATGTATGTTTGTTGTCTTGATTTGTGTATTGTATAATGTTTAGTAACGAATATATTTCATATCTTTAATTATCAAAAAAGGGTCAACCTTTTAGTTAGGAATTATGTTTCCTATATGTTATCAATATAAAGAAAACCATAAATTAGCAGATAGTGAGGCAATGACGTCACACAGACTCATGAGTAATTTGCCAATTTGTCTTTTGATTTTCAGAGTTTTCCATGTCATTAAAAGTTCATAACTTTCTTATTAGTTATCTGATTTTGCTCAAACTTTTTTTGATTGGTTTGTCTGATTTCTCTGCTTCTCTTGAAATTTAGTTAGTTTAAGGTGGGCTACGGTTGCGCGTATATCTGTGTCCGGCGCCACACTGCTCTTTAAGACCACCACAAGAAGCCTGTGCGATGTTCGTTAATTGCTCTTCCGATTTTTGGATGGAGTACTATCGCTCCACGTGCCACGTGCGTCAAAACAAAGACACAGGAATTTTCTTCCAAATGAACCAAACGCAGATAACTGCACTTTCCGTTGGGGCCATGTCTCTACTGACAATGATTCTGATTATTTTGCGTTTTCTGTTTCCCATTTGTATGGGAAGTATCCACGTCTTCGATTTTTCCTTGTGTTGCATGCACAGACACGCTTACGCACACAGGCGCGGATCCAGGATTTCTTAAGGGGGGGGGGGGGCCCAAATTTGAAATTATGCGAGCCAAATATCGGTAATGGTGACCAGCATTGACGTAGTGGGGGGGGGGGGGGGGGGAGGGGGTGCAGGGAGGGGCGATTTCCCCCTCCCTCCTCCGTAAAGCGCCGAAGCTTTGACGTTTCATTAAATTATCAGAGAAAAAAGACGATTCGTTGTACCGTTCTCGAAAATAATCCTCGTCTGAATTCAGTTCCCCCCTCCCGCGCGAAGCGCGGAAGCTGTTACGTTTCATTAAATCATTAGAGAAAGAAGACGATTCGTTGTACCGTTCGCGACTCTTAATCCTTGTCTAAATGCAGTCCCCCCCCCACTTCCTGCGCGAAGCGCGGAAGCTTTGACATTTCATTTAATTATTAGAAAAACAAGACGATTCGTTGTACCGTTCTAGAAAATAATCCTCGTCTAAATTCAGTTCCCCCCCGCGAGGCACGGAAGCTTTTACGTTTCATTGAGTCATTATAGAAAGAAGGCGTTTTGTTGTACCGTTCTCGACTCTTAATCCTCGTCTGAATTCAGTCCCCCCCCCCCCCCACCTGCGCGAAGTGCGGAAGCTTTTACGTTTCATTAAATCATTAGAGAAAGAAGACGATTCGTATTACCATTCTCGACTCTTAATTCTTGTCTGAATTCGGTCTCTCCTCCCCCCTCCTGCGCGGCAGCTTTTACGTTTCATTAAATCATTGGAGAAAGAAGACGGTTCGTTGTACCGTTCTCGACTCTTAATCCTTGTCTGAATTTCAAAAATGTTTTTTGTCTGCTCCTTTTTCTACCTACGTCCTCTTTTTTTTCTTCTCTCCTCTCCTTTTTGGCCGGTGTTTTTTTTTTTTTTTTTTTTTTTTTTTTTTGGGGGGGGGGGGCCACCGCCCCGATGGCTACGCGTTTGCGGTCAGATGAACATGTTTTGATACCTTGTCCGCTCCCGGAAACTCAGGGGATTAGGGCAATAAATAACGGTCAGATAAGCATTCAGGGGCCCGCGTTAGGGGCCCTGATGGGGTCGAGGGTGCGGAAACCCCTGAGTCTCAGGGGTTTTATGCGTTTGATTACGGTCAGATGAACATAATTTTTATACCTTATTTGTGACACAGGCAGGACACTGATTGGCGTGAGGTCCAGCGGGCGGAGCCCCCAGAAGCTCAGGGGTTTTAGGCATTAAATTTATTACCGTCATATTAGAATCCAGGGGTCCGCCTTAGGGCCTTAGTGGGGTCGAGGGCGCGGAAACCGCGGAATCTCAGGGGTTTTAGGCATTTGGTTACGGTCAGATGAACATATTTTTATACCTTATTTGTGACACTGGCAAGACACTGCTTGACGTGAGGTCCAGCGGGTGGAGCCCCCAGAAGCTCAGGGGTTTTAGGCATTAAATTACCGTCATATTAGAATCCAGGGGTCCGCCTTATTGCCCTGGTGGTGTCGAGGGTGCGGGAACCCCGGAATCTCAGGGGTTTTAGGCATTTGATTACGGTCAGATGAACATAATTTTTATACCTTATTTGTGACACAGGCAGGACACTGATTGGCGTGAGGTCCAGCGGGCGGAGCCCCCAGAAGCTCAGGGGTTTTAGGCATTAAATTTATTACCGTCATATTAGAATCCAGGGGTCCGCCTTAGGGCCTTAGTGGGGTCGAGGGCGCGGAAACCGCGGAATCTCAGGGGTTTTAGGCATTTGGTTACGGTCAGATGAACATATTTTTATACCTTATTTGTGACACTGGCAAGACACTGCTTGACGTGAGGTCCAGCGGGTGGAGCCCCCAGAAGCTCAGGGGTTTTAGGCATTAAATTACCGTCATATTAGAATCCAGGGGTCCGCCTTATTGCCCTGGTGGTGTCGAGGGTGCGGGAACCCCGGAATCTCAGGGGTTTTAGGCATTTGATTACGGTCAGATGAACATATTTTGATACCTTATTTGTGACACTAGCAGGACACTGATTGACGTGGGGTCCAGCGGGCTCCGCCCCCCGAAGCTCAAGGGTTTTAGGAGTTTAATTACGGTCAGATGAGGATTTGTTGATACCTTATTTTTTTGTGACACTGGCAGTTAACTATTCTTTCTTTCTTGCTCTTTTTCTTTCTATACTTTGTCAAAAGTGTGTGTGTGTGGGGGGGGGGGAGGGAGCTAGAAGCTCCCCGTCCCCGCCGTCCCGCGGGCCCTGACATGTAGGCATCTCAAGAAGCATATTTCTTGCCTGGCTATTTGTCATTTTACAACAAACGCATACAAATGTATAATTTACTAAAAAATGAGGAAAAATCTCGGAAAATTATGTCATTTCAGCATTATGTGTAAACCACCGTAACGGTTATGGAATCAGAAATAAACCCCCTCCCCGATCAGTACGCCAGTGCCCCGCCCCCCGATCTACACTTTGTTGGCGGAAAAATCGCAACTGATCTCCCCTACCTTTCTTCTTTCTCTTTTTTTTCTTTCCCTTTCTCTCCACATTTTCTTTTTTGGCCCCGGAAATTGGAAAAATTACTTCGTCAGATATTTCGTTCAGTGGCTTGGGAGAGGGGGGGGGGACCTTTTTTTCAAACACTTTTTTTCAAAAAAAAATCTTTCCCCTTTTTTTCCCTTCTTTTTTTTCCTTTTTTGTTTGTTCCCCGCCCCCTTCCTCCCCTTTTTCCCCCAGGCGGGGGGGGGGGGGGGGGGGGGGGCTGGATCCGCCACTGCACGCACAACCACAACACGCGCACAACGCGGGCACATAATACATACCACTCTCCAGTATACAATATCTTCCTTTGTAACTCGGTCTTACTCTGTCTTTGTCTGAAAAAATGCATTCGAAAATATACAGCGTCTGCCATATAGCTTTTTGGATGGATACCCTGGACTTACATCCGGCCCCAGAAACATCTAAAATAACCATAACCGGTGGTATATTTGTCTGGAGGCGATTACATAATTTAGAGCTGTGTAAATTTGCATTATAAAGCACCATCATTAAATTGACTTCAAAAGATGAGATATTATGTAATTTAAAATTAATACATATTCCATACATGGCATGTTAATAATAATAATACATATGATTTATAAGGCGCCAAATCCACTTGACAGTCAAATGCTCAAGGCGCAGCTTGTGCAAAAGATGAAATACATACTTGATACATTTATACAAAGTGCGATAAGAAAGGTACAGACATGAAAGGTAATGGTAATCAATTATAAGCTAAATTAAACAGATATTTCTTAAGATTGTTTTTTAACACCTCAGCAGAACTGCTATTCTTAACCCATTGAGGGAGAGTATTCCATAACGAAGGCCCAGCATGAGCGAAGGTTCGTTCCCCCCACTTTGTTTTAACCCTAGGAGTAACAAGTAAGCCAGAGTTTTGAGAACGTAGCTGTCTAGAAGGAAAGTAATGCTTAATCAAGCCGATGTTATACTGCGGAGCAGAGCCATGTATACAGTGAAATAATAGCAAAATAATCTTGAAAACAACACGTTTTTCTACGGGCAACCAATGGAGTGATTTGAGGACTGGTGTGATGTGACTGTACTTGTTGGACAGGGTCACGACACGAGCAGCAGCATTCTGTAATCTTTGTAATTTTGCGAGTAGGTTGTGAGGCGAACTAAACAAAAGGCCATTACCAAAATCCAAGCGAGAAGAAATCAAAGCATGAGTAATTTTCTCGGTGGCACCACGGTTAAGATATTTACGAATAAAACCCAAATTGCGTAACTGATAACGTACTGATTTTGAGACATATTGAATTTGAGTAGACATTTTCATGTTTGAGTCGAGAAACACACCAAGGTTGCGACATACATTAGATAGGGTAATTTCATGTCCAGCAAGAGTAATTGAAGTGATGGAAGAAATCTTCTCTAACTGAGTCTCAGAACCATACATTATAAATTCGCATTTGGCGAGATTTAATTTCAGTGAATGTGAGTTTAACCAATTATGAACATCTTGTACACAAGTCTCAATGTTATGGATAGCGCTGGCTGCATTGCTCTGATTGGGTTTGAAAGAAGTATATATTTGAATATCATCAGCATAAACATGATAAGAGAGAGAATGGCGATGAAAAATACTCTTCAAACCCGTTAAATATAACGAAAAAAGCGTGGGCCCGCCCACAGAGCCTTGTGGAACTCCGCATGTAAGTGGTACAAAATCTGAAAGGTAGCCGTTTATCAAGACAGCTTGAGAATGGCATGACAGGTATGATTTAAACCATTCCAGGGCTTGACCTTTAATACCGAGTGACATGAGGGTATTCACCAGAACAGTGTGGTTAACAGTGTCAAAGGCGGAAGACAAATCAAGGAGTACCATAGCAGTTACTTTTCCGCCATCCATCTCCTGGAGTATAAAATTGGATACATTAACAAGGAGGGTTTCTACACTGTGGTGGGGACGGTATGCAGATTGAAATGGGTCAAGGAGGTCATTATCGAGACAGTAATCATTTAACCTAGAGAACACCACCCTCTCAAGTATTTTAAATAAAAACGGGAGATTAGAAACTGGACGGTAATTACTTAGTAATTCAGAATCAAGATTGGGTTTCTTCAGTAAAGGAAGAATGTGTGCCGTTTTAAGAACAGAAGGTACGCATGCTTGAACAATACTTAAGTTGACAATCTGTGAGATAACAGATGCAAATGAAGAGGAGCAATCCTTAACGAGAACAGTATAGACAGGGTCTAGTTTACACGACTTAGCTGGCAATCTATGAAGCAGTGATTGTATCTCATCGGAGGTGGTAGGTTGAATCGTCTCGAGGGATGCTGACGTGACAGGATCAGGTGGAGTTAAGTCAGGAGTGAGACTGTCCTGGATCTTCTGAAGATTTGGCACTATTTTCTTCTACAAAGTCATGTTGCCCGTCTCATGAACTAACTCTGCATTAATCTTTTTTTTCCCTCTTGAATAACACAGTACCCTGATGTCACCATGCCTGTGTCTCTTGGTGAATGGCGTGTCAGGATTGGCACGTTTATGCACCGTCGGAGGAAAGAATATGACTACCACTACTTTTGGAGGAAACTCCACAACTTAATTAAAAAACACAAGAATGCTGAGCCACCTAAAGAAAACAACAATCCGGAGTGTAACATCTCATCTCGCACTGGCTCTTCTCCCGGTGCGAATAGATCTCCAAGCAACACGGCCCGTCAGTCTGCATCTTCTGCTCAAACAGGGCCTTCACGTGACGTCAACAATGGCAAAGGTAACGCAAGCTCACCGACTCTCTCACAATCTGACAGCCCAAAGTGTGATACTGTCAAGGAGAGTGGATCCACATGCGATGTAAATAATCCCGGTCATAACGATGTCTCTCACTCTGAGTCTTCATGTGCTCAACACAGTGGTTCTTCAATTGAAAAAGAGACCAACCCTGTCCCTGATTCCACTGACGTGACAATTCCAGTTCCCCAACCCTGTGTAGAAGACGAATTGGATAATAAAGACAAAGCCATTAATCTCATGTCACATGAATACACCCCGAAATCCGCCCAAATAGGAAAAACTGACAAACCTGAAGTTGGCACATCAGAGTCGCACTCACATGTACCTGCATACGTTCATGGTGAGACAGATCGTATCAATCGAGACAAGGAGGAAACTGACTCTGCACCGTCTGGGATAGAGGACCTATCACCTAAACACAGGCTAAATATAACGAGAAATACCGACCAAAACACATCATCTATCATGGTATGATTAATATGCATTTCCTAGAACCTCACTACTCACATGAAAACAAAGAAAGAAAACAAAAACAGTGAGAAAAACATGCGAACTTTAAATCGAAATAAAAACTGTATAAAACAATTCTTTTTGTAAACGGGGTTTTAACCAAAACATGTAACTAGGAAAATTGGAGCTAACAAAGATGTATTATAAAGGACAGCTTATTTGATTTTGCTGTGAAAAGTATAATTTTGAAGTTTGTGGCAACCGTAAATAGTGGTTAAATTTCCCTTAACCCTTTCACAGAATTCTTATACTCCCGTGATTCTCCTTTTTTCCTTCAAATAATGTCTTTTGTCCATAAGTAACAGAATATCATGAATCGTCCATGCACCTTGTCCAATGGCTACATGTACACCCTTCTATCATCTGCCTGCGCTAATCATTGTCCTATTATGGATTTAAGAATAAACTAGAAACCATTGATATAAACATCCCCGCCAGAATGACATTGTGGCACAATAATGTTATCTCAGTATGACATGTAGATAGTTTTCAGAGTTAAAATTGTGTCATCTATTCGTAATTTTCTCTTCATCCTTAGGAAGTAACGGAGTATCATGAATTCCAGATCTATCCGGTCCTCGGATCAGGGACAACCAGTGGTGAAGCAGATGCAATTAAAGGGAATGACTGTCCAGACATGACCAACATACTTCTAATGAGATCCGGGGATGTAGAACAAAACCCTGGCCCGAATGATAAGTAAGCACAATGAAAGAGCGACTTTGGTCCTTATTCTGTTAATTGGCCCGACCCTTGATAGGAGATCACGTTTAAAGATAAACTTCATTAAACTTCAGACTTATTTCCATTCTAAACCCGATTATAAACTAAAGCTTTAACCCACCGTGAGGTCTGAATTTCGGCAGAATACGGGCTAAAGAGTTTGTTGGTAAAAAATAATAATTGGAATTAAACCAAGTTTCGCGTATTTCCGTTATGTTAACAGGTTCATATTTTGCAATTTTTTGGAGTGCTTGCATTCTATGTAATATTTTATTGCAATCCAAACAAGGGTATTCACTCGAGATGATAATCAAAGGAAAGACCTTTGATTATAAAACCTTACAAATATATGTAAGCTGTGTATGCTTTTTCTTCTTTCTTTTGTCTAATGATTTAGACTTGGGAACCTGACCGACCTCGAACTATATCTCCTTGCTGACAGTATGGATCCATCAGATTTCAGGAAGGTCGGACTAGCTTTAGGATTCACTGAGGCTGAATTAAGTCGGTTTGAGAAAGATCAGATGGGCAATACTCTGTATGCCACCTATAAGATGCTTTACGAATGGCGGAAGAGAGTACGTGAAAGCGAGGCGAGGGAGACGTTGGTGGTTACGTTACAAAGCATTAAGCTGGTGCAGCTTGCTGATAGCGTACAGAAAGGTACAGTATTACACATACAGCGCGTCCACACACAAAAAGAATTTCCCCGAAACTCTATAAAGAAACGTCGTATAAAGAATCATCGTATAGCGAACCGGGCGTCCACACACACAAGAACAAGTATCCGAAACTCTATACAGCGAAACTTGGTATATGTGCGCAGTTACAGCGTGTCCACATACAAAACAATTTATCCCGAAACTCTATAACGAAACGTCGTATAAAGAATCATCGTATACATTTCAGAGTGTCCACACACAAGAAACGTCGTATAAATAATCATCGTATAAATTCCAGGATGTCCACACACAGAAGAAAGTTATCCTGAAACCCTACAGCGAAATGTCGTATAGGTGCGCAGTTTGCTACTGCGATCATGAAATGGTAGCGGAAATGAGAGGTCTGGTCTCCTTTCGCTCGAGGTCACGTTAAGCCCCGCCCAGTTAGTTACACTAGTTACACTAGTTCCGTCCACACACAACACCTTCCGTGATTAGGCGTGATTAGTTCGAAACGATGCCCAAACCTGCGTTTCGTTTGACTAGTTTCGTTATATGACGTATCGTTAGTGAGCGTCCACACACACAATTTCCATCGTAAAACTATCGCAAAACGGTATCACTATCGCGAAACGGAATAGCTAATCACGCATAATCACGGAAAATGTTGTGTGTGGACAGGGGGTTAGCTACTGCGGTCGTGAAACGGAAGCGGAAATTTGAGGTCATGTCTCCTTTTGAGTGCGGTCACGTTAAGCCCAGCCCGTGATTATTCATCGAGTTCTAGTTCAAAACGATGCCCAGACCCGCGTTCCGTTATACGACGTTTCAAATACGACATATCGCTAGTAAGCGTACACACACGGGATAGCTAAACGATGAAAATTGTGTGTGTGGACACGGGGAATATACATGCGTACACAGGCAACGTGATGAATGGTATGCCTACCAAACCAGGAGCGTACCTTTAAAAGAAGACAATCGTTATAACTTGTTTAGTTATGAAACGTACAAGATCATGCACATTGTATATGACACTTTGCGCAGGATAAGATTGCTCCAAACCTCACTTTAAGACCAAAGGGATTGACATTCTAGCATTGACCTAATTAATCCTTTTAAGTTAATTATTCTGATGATACGATACTGTGCTACAAAATTTCCCCCCGTTGTTGTTGTTGCTGCTGATGCTTGTACTGATGTTGTGTGATATTAAACACTGGTCATATTTTTCTAGTCATTCTAAAGACAACGTTCTTCACCATTCTCATCACAGGTCAGGTTGGTGATCACATACCGTCCATGACAGAGGAGGAAATCCAACAGGTTGCTGAAGAGGTCAAACACTATTTGGTAATTCATCTATGTCAGATTCAAGCCGATCCACTGAACAGCGAACTTGTTCTTGAATTTAAACGTATATTCACCAATCTAACGTTGATGGAAGAAGACAAAGGTACCAAAGTCAAGACACCGCTTCTTTACGACAACCTCCTCAGGACCAAGGTCAACGGAAGCTTTCCCAAACGCTTGTTGGTAGAAGGTGAAGGTGGTGTAGGGAAGACCACTTTTTGCGCCAAGATCGCTTGGGATTGGATCCACGGGAAAGGTTACCAAGATTTCAAACTGGTTCTTGTCATCCTCCTTCGCAAGACAGAGGGCAGGACTGTTGGAGAGATAGTGAAGTCGTATCTTTCTGACAACAATCCCGTCACAGCCAAACAGCTAGACAAGCACATCCTCTCGAATCCGAAAGACGTCTTTCTTGTCTTGGACGGCCTAGATGAGTTTGCTGTCGATCTTGACAGCAATCAGCAAATCGCCCTGATCACTCTTAATCATCTGTTCAAGTCAGGGACAGTACTAATCACATCGAGACAATGGAGATCAGATGAGATTAGGAAGAATGCCGATCTCAGAAAGGTGTTTGCTTTCATTGCTGTAGAAGGGTTCTCTGCTGAAAACCTCTCTTCTTACATCACCAAGTTCTTTCATCCAGACGCAGCTTCCTCTGAAGATCTGAACCGATTCATATCGAACAACGATGTGATCAGAGAGAACATGGCTCCATACCCCATATACACAACCATGCTGTGTATCATGTGGAAAGAGTTTGATGGAGAGCGCCGAGAGGCAATGTCCAAGCTGCAAACATTTTCCCAGCTCTTCAATCAGATGATTGACTTTTTGGTTGATCATCACCTATCAAAGCACATTCCATCTTCAGGTATTGTTGAAGGCAAATTAGGGGATTATTGTTCAGATATTCGTCCACACCTGATTCACATCGGCCGCATTGCCTTCCAGGGACTTCTCGAGAGACGGTTAGTATTCACAGAAGAAGAGTTTCAGTGCTATCCAGAGTCCATCGATGTAGGTTGTAAAGTTGGTGTACTCACCAGAGAGAAGAAAATTCTTCCGAGGCGAGATAGGAGAAATAATCCGAATTCAGTGGTCCAATCGGTGCAGTTTCCCCATAAGCTCTTCCAGGAGTATCTATCAGGAATGTATCTTGCATCTCTTTACAACTCAAACCGTAATGAGTATGACAGGTTGATAGCGAATATCATACTGAACGCAGTGGAATACCGGTACCTACTGTACTTCACCTCGGCCCAGCAGAAGGGGGTCGGCTTGGATATCGTATCTCGTCTCATGGCGTCGAACAAAGAGCGCCCACACGGCCTTATTCGTGATGACTTCATCGTAGATGTAGCATACGAGAGCCAAGACCAAGAAGTGGCCAAAGCCGTGGCGGATCATCTATCGACTACGTCCAGAAAGACACTGAAGATCACCACAAGGATGAAGGCACACACAATATCAGGGCATACTTTCATCATGAACCATCGTGAAGTGGTAAGGAAAATATTCAACGTCGAATTGTAGCAACGTATACATTTCATCTTTGTTTGATCTTTTTTGAGTGATAGAGTTTCTATTTGATTTGAATTTCATTCTCTCAGACTTTAAAAGGATGACGTCGTTTGGTTTGAACACAGGACTGTAATTATACTGTGTATACTAACGATGCTTTGAACCCCGACACGCACTAATAAGGCAATGCATACTTTACAAACTCTCGTCACCCAAATTCACCCGAACGCTTGATAGAATACATTTTATTTAAATCAGGAGCATGTTTAAATTAAAGCAACTTCTATGGATCTGGCATGGATACAAGTCGGATCATCATATTCAAAAAATTACTATTAACAAGGATTAATTATCATTAGGACTTTATTCTGTAAATACGAGTTCTGATTTATTGTTACTGCAGTACAACCCGTCTTGAATGTATATGCAATAAAACCTTGTTTAATAATATAACGCTTTTATTATCACGAATCCCAATAGGATTTTCACGTGTTTACTATTCAAACGTTAAGCTGACCACTGTGTGCTTAGACTGTCTTTCGTTTGACACATTGTGTTTGTTCTTTTGCTTGTTTGATTGTATAAATATATTTTAGTCTCGTAAAACTATCCATTGTGTGCTTATACTTTCTTTTGTGCAATCCACTTTAATCTGCCGTTTTCTTTTTAGCCACACTTTTATTTAAACTCTTCAGTCTGATTTGAAATTTTCTTATCTTTTAGTGTGTTTTAAATTTTGTTTGATTTTATCGTACCAGTGCAAGTATATCAATTTAAGTAAACTTGTTTCGTTTAATTCATAAATACCGTGTGAGTCAAACAAAAAGTTTACACCTAAAAAATTGCTAATTATTTCAAACATCATCTATGAACAGTAAATTATTATACATCTTATGAAAGAGTGTTTTATCCCAAATCATTTGGTATCATTTTTGTGTGGAATGTGTTCACGCTTGGATAAACAGGAGGCATTGCTTGCGAGAGTGCAAAATTGGACTTGCGCCAGAGTGATGCCTACAGTATGTATTATGTTGGGATTAGCGGAATGAGAGAATGGATTGAATGTATCGAATGAAACGTATTGCTATGCTTTTTGCAAAGGGCAAAGTCACACACACCCACACACATGTTGTTTGATATTCTTTATTTGATATGTGTGGCATGATTAAATTTGTTAGGGATGTTATTTGGATCTGCAAAGACCGAATTATTACCCAAATCCAAATCCCAATTGTTTTATTCAAACATCACATTAACAACTAAATGATTCGGGATAAAACACTCTTTCATAATATGTATACTAATTTACTGCTCATAGATGATTTTTAAAACAATTAGCAATTTTCTAGGTGTCAACTTTTTTTGACACACACTGTATAATTATATTCCCTTGCTTTATTTGGCTCATTTAAATCCAAGCATGAATTTTATGTAGGTTGATTTTTTCAAACTAAAACGTATTCTGTTTTTTTTTTTTATATCTAGTAGTAAATAACTGTGTATCATGTATTGTGTATATGTTTTTAATTTTTTGTTGTTGTAATTTTTACCATTTACTTTGTCACTCGCCTACAGGGCTCCTTTGTAAAGCAGGCCTTGTGGCTCTGAAAGGACTACCCTGTATTTTAAAGAAGACCGAATAAATAAATAAATAAATAAACCAATATGATAAAACGCTACTTTGAATTATAATGAGACGCGTACTGAACCCAGAAAATTGTATTTTTGATTGGATCAGAAAAATTCCTTTAAAATGCATAATGTTATTATTATATTATTTGACGTTCATACATATAGATTATAAAAACATAATAAGAACCAAACTGAAAATTGAAGAAGAAAACAAACTTATTACAAAATCATTATCAAAGCAGGTGATTAATCAGGATAATATAGTATTATGTTGATGGTTTATGTTTCTAGCCTCACAATATTATTTGTGTACATGTTCATTGCAGGATGACCTGAGTATTGAGAAGCCATGTGGACGGACGGCTTCAGAGGACCTGGCTGAATTCATCTGCTCATCACGATCACTGAGATCTGTGGAGATCGATAGTACTATGCATGATGTCTTCTACTCGGTGCTTGGAAATAAAGCAGTCGATTCCAAGGTCAGTATAAATCTTTGTATCATCCACGTTGTCGTTTATTTGGTACATCATTCTTTAAAAAAATGAATGCCAAATTCAGTCAGGATTGAAATAATTTAGGAAAATACTGGGAAACAGAAATTTGTTTAATATAGAAAAACAAATTTAAATGTTTAAACGTCTATGGCACGCATGTAAAAAACAAATAAAAATATTCAACAACAATAACAAATATATTTCTCTCTCTGAAATTCCGATGGGGTGGAGACGTTGTTTTACCTACCCCATCACAATGTATTTGGTTTTGTTGTCAAAATATCTGTTTAGGGTATTTATAATTATTTCAATGACCCAATCTCAAATTATTTTAACTAGGTTTTATCACAAATAAATTACCACAAAGGTCATAACATGTGAATCATATCAAATGAACACTTAGGCCCGAATTCACAAAGGAGGTTTGTCGACAAACCTCCGTTTGTTTCGACAAACCTCCTTTTGTTATTTACAAACCAGGTTTGTAAAAAACGCGTCAAAACGCGTCATATGACGCAGGGGCGGCGATCCCGGGGGGACGGGGGGACACGTCCCCCCTCAATTTTTTTAGGGGGGGATCTTCCCCCCCGGAAAATTTGAAAAAGTGCACCAAAAATTGTATAGCATATACTGAATAATGACTGCAACACACTTTTAGGCTCCGGAGGACCGAAGAGTGCAGCATTTAGACTAGTAAAGTTGCAAAAAAATTCTCGCTCGGTCGCTACGCTCCCTCGCATAACATCCGTGTAAAAAATTTCGCATTTCGTCCCCCCCGGTCATGAACAGAAATCGCCGCCCCTGATATGACGTACATAAACCTCGGTTTGTCGTAAAACCTCCTTTGTGAATTCGGGCCTTAATGTATACGGGGGCTGGGACGCCCTCTATCGTCATTTCCGTTATGTCGTAACCGCTTTGCATTTCGCATTGTCCTTTCATGCCTCTTCTCTCAGGTCTTACGCACATTTTGATACCATGTTCGTCATACTTGGATATACCCGTCAGATGTGACATAACAATTAGATGTGCATTTCACTAACATGTGCTATCATTCACGAATCGGTGGAATTGCGAATAGAGATTAACATTAATCTCTTCATAACAGGGATATGTGAATTGATATCAAATTGTTATTATTCGTTTTCAAATCAATGTTAGAAATTCATTACAACAAAAAAAATACTTGAGAATGCATACTAATTTTTTGTAATAGACGCTCAAAAATAAAATGAAATCTTCCCAATATATATCAGCAGTTTATGAGTAGTGGAGACAGATAATTCTTCCTTGGGAAAGAATGGTTGTGTTTGGTTGTAGAAATCATGGTAATAGTTCTAAAATATCTGTTTTAATGCATACAATTATCATAATTCAAAATCAACAATTTCATAATAATAAACAATTATAAAAGGTTTCTACATTAAAAAAGGTTTAGTCTGACCATTTTGAAATGATTCATTACTTGCTCGCACACACTGGCCCGAATTCACAAAGGAGGTCTGTCGACAAACCTTGGTTTTCGTGCGTCATATGACGCGTTTCGACGCGTTTTTACAAACCAGGTTTGTAAAAAACGCGTAAAAACGCGTCATGACGTACGAAAACTAAGGTTTGTCGACAAACCTCCTTTGTGAATTCGGGCCAATGTGTACACAATCTCTACTCCCTGGGGAGCATTCCAGCCAGGCATTAAATACTTCCCCGTGTCCACACACACATTTTTCCGTGATTAGGCGTGATTAGTTATACCGTTTCGGGATAGTTATACGATGAAATTGTGTGTGGTCGCTTACTAACTATACGTCGTATAACGAAACGTCGTATAACGAAACAATGCCCAAACATGCGTTTCGTTATACGACGTATAACTTATCACGCCTAATCACGCCTAATCACGGAATGTGTTGTGTGTGGACGTAAGTAGTATAACTAGTCGAACTAGAACGGTATAACTGGGCGGGGCTTAACGTGACCTCCAGCGAAAGGAGACCTGACCTCTCATTTCAGCTTCCATTTCATGATCGCAGTAGCAAACTGCGCACCTATCGACATTTCGCTGTAGAGTTTCAGGATTACTTTCGTCTGTGTGAGGCCATCCTGGAATTTATAGGATGCTTCTTTATACGACGTTTTTTGTGTGTGGACACCCTGAAATTTATACGATGATTCTTTATACGACGTTTCGTTATAGAGTTTCGGGATTAATTGTTTTGTGTGTGGACACGCTGCTTTTTAAACGCTCAAAACTGTTTGACCAACAATGACGGTCGCATCCTACCGGGTTCCCATTTTAACACCTGGGTGTAGAGTAGCAAGTGCTTTAAACCACTCGACCATGACACTCCTATGTAATACGTAATAGTTATAAATTGAATATGTTTACATCTTATAAAGGAAGTTATTTCTCCATTGTAATGTTTTCAAAAATCCAGACATGTTTAGAGACAAGAATATAGAGTCTTCTGAAAAATGCATTGAATTGAAAATACTGCATAATTCATTGATTTGCGCTATATTACACTGTCGCTCATCAAGGTGGAATATTTTAGTTTTACCCCACTTTATGGAATTATTAAAAAAATTATTTAAAAATAATAGATCTAGATAATAGTATACATTCTCAGATTTTATTGAATAATAATTTGCCAATGTGTGTTTTGCGGGACTGCTATGTATGCTACTATGCTTATTAACTAGGGGACCTAGACGCCCTCAAGTCATAAATGACAGTAATGAGGATTAATGCCCCACAGAAGGGCACTAATATAGGACATCGACACGGTTTTGATCCTGGGGCCTCACATTTACGAGGCCATTGTTTTGTCACTGAACCATGACTGTACTCAGCGGGGGCCTAGGGTAGGGGGCAGTTTCCATAAATAAAATAAAAAACAGAAAATGCAATAAATTTTCAATAATTTATTGCATTTTACCCCGGTCCCCAACATAAAAAAAACCTCTGGACGGCCGTGCATTATGGCTCAAGGCATGGGCACACAAAAGAATTTGTTATGTTGGGTACCGGGGTAAAATGCAATAAATTATTGAAAAATTATTGCATTTTCTGTTTTTTTTTTAATTGATGGAAACTGCCCCCTACCCTAGCCCCCGCTGCGTACAGTCATGGTTCAGTGACAAAGGAATGGCCTTGTAACTGTGAGGCCCCAGGATCAAAACCGTGTCGAAGTGCTATATTAGTGCCGTTTTGTGGGGCATTAATCCTCATTACTGTCATTTATGACTTAAGGGCATAGGTCCCCTAGTTGATAAGCATAGTAGCATCCACATGCTTTAGCAGTCACGCAAAACACATATTGGCAAATTATTATTCAATAAAATCTGAGAATGTATACTATTATCTAGATCTATTATTTTTAAATTATTTTTAAAAATAATTCCGTAAATTGGGATAAAAAAAAAAATTCCACCTTTATGAGCGACAGTGTATTTGTTTTCATCAAATGCATATTAGGGACAAATGTATTGCTCATTACGGTAAAGAGGTGAGGCAAGAAATTGTCGCGTTAATCGGATAGTCAGACTTTGAAGGCCCCATCGCACCAAACTAGTTCTCACTACGTTCTCTAAAAATTAATGTTGCTAAACGGGCTCAAACTGTGTGTGAACGGAGCTGAACGTAATATCAACTGTTTACGATCTTTTTAAGGACTTCATGGACGGGCTCGGACTGGACTAATGTCTATAATACGATCCTAGTTTGTTCATCAACAGTCCACAATACAACTTGTCTGTACCCCGTCCACAGTCAGTTCATATCAAGTTCAGATCGGGTAAATTTGACATTTCCAAGCAGTCCAAACCATTCTTACTAGTTCGCAACTTGTTCTAAGTAGTTCACAACCCAACCATCCCGTTAAGAGACAGTTCAACTCGGTTCGTTGGTCCCATTATATGGAATACATTATCCCCCTTAATACTCAATTCGGAAATTCTTAAAAAAACTATCTATAGTATCTGCGTAAGCGCAATGGTCATTTTCCTCGACGACATAAATATACGAATTATTTCGTTCAACTTAGTCAGCATCATAGCTATATATATATTAATGCAGGCGCGGAGCTAGGATCTTATTTAAGGGAGGGGCGGTAGTGAGCAAACGAAGCGCGCTCATAAGAAGGGGTGGGTAATAGGCCTCCCGACTGTTAATCCTTGTCTGCAGGCACGTAGCCACGGGGGGGGGGGGGGGGGGGGGGGGCACGTGTCCCCCAAAAAATTCCAAGATCGGTTGAACTTTTTTAGACCCTTTAAAAAAAAAATCTCGATCGATTACATGTATGTGCCCCCAAAAATATCAAACTCTGGCTACGTGCCTGCTTGTCTGAAAGAAGTCACCCCCCCCTCGCGCGATACGCGAAAGCTTTGACGTTTCATTAAATTTTATAAAAAGAAGACGATTTGCTGTACCGTTCTCGACTATTAATCCTTGTCTGAATACAGTTTCTCCCCCTCCCCGCAGAAGCTTTGACGTTTCATTAAATTATGAGAAAAAGCAGACGATTCAGTGTACTGTTCTCAAGTCTTAATCCTCACCTGAATTCAGTTCTCCATCTCCTGCCCGAAGCGCGGAAGTTTTGACGTTCCATTAAATTATTAGAGAAAGTAGACGATTCGTTGAACCGCGGTCTAATCTTAATCCTTGTCTGAATGAAGTTTCCCCCTCCCGCGTGAAAAGCTTAGACGTTTGATTTAATTATTATAGAAAGAAGAAGATTCGTTGCACCGTTTTCGACTATTATTAAGCCCTATTTATCTAATTCAGTTCCCCCCCCCCCCACCTCTCGCGCGAAGCGCGGAAGCTTTGACGTTCCCTTAATTTATTAGAGAAAGCAGACGATTCGTTGTACCGTTTTCGACTCTTAATATGCCCTATTTTGCCTGAATTCAGTTTTCCCCTATCGCGCGAATCGTGGAAGCTTAGACGTTTCCTTAATTTATTAGAGGAAGAAGATGATTCGTTGTATACCGCTCTCGACTCGTCTAAATGAAGTTTTCACCTCCCGCGCGAAGCGCGGAAGTTTTTTGCGTTTCATCAAAATATAGAGAAAGGAAGACGATCCGTCGTACCGTTGTTGACTCTTAATCCTAGTTTGAATTTAGTTTTCCAGAAAATTTTAAACCTCTGATTTCTTTAGCTGATATTATAGGAAAGTGAAACTTCGAGAAAAAAGTATAGTAGTTGTAGTCACTCTCGAAGTCGTCACAGAGGATAAAAAGTCACAGTTCGTAGGGGAAAAAACTTGTCGGCCGACCGACAATACATCTCACCGACTTCAAACTTCTGCATTTATATAGTACACGAGGATCGAGCAAGAATACCGACACAGCTGACCCGACACAGCAACGTATTTACCCGTGTCTTTCTTGCTCCCTCGACGAGACGACTCCACCCAACAACCCCCTCTCTCTTTTACTCCCACTCCCACTCCTCCTCTCTCAGGCTTTTACCTCCCCTCTCTCCTCTCTTTCATCCCCCGTTTCTTTTGTTTCCCTTTTCTTCTATTTTTCATTTTCTTTCTTTTCGTTTCTTTCCTCTCCTCCCTCTTTTCTTTTTTCTCTTTTTCATATCTTTTCTTTCCTTCCTTTTCCTTTCTTTTCCTTTTTTTCCTTTCTTCCCTTTCTTTCTTTTCTTTTCCTTTTCTTTCCTTTTCTTTTTTTTCTTTCCCTTTCCCTCTCTTTTTCCCCTCCCCCTTTTTCTCTTTTTTCCCGACGGCAGCGCTATTTTACCGACAATATCCTGACAGTTTGGGGGGGGGGGGGTGTGTCGCACCCCCACACCCCCTTTGGAGACGCCCCTGTACACAAGGATCGAGCAAGAATACCGACACAGCTGACCCGACACAGCAACATATTTATGCGTGCCTTTCTTGCTCCCTCGTCGAGACAATTACACCCAACAACCCTCCTACCTCTTTTACTCCCACTCCTCCCTTCGCAGTCTCTTACCTCCCCCTCTCTCTCCTCTCTTTCATCCCCCGTTTCTTTTGTTTCCTTTTTCTCTTTTTTTCTTCTTTCCTTTTCTTCTTCTTTTTTTTCCCTCTCTTTCCTCTCCTCCATCTTTTCTTTTTTCTCTTTCTTTCTTCTCTTCTCTTTCCTTTCTTTTCCTTTTTCTTTTTTTCATTTTTTCTTTCCTTTTCTCTCTCTTTTCCCTCCTCCTTTTCTCTTCCTCCCCCTCCTTTTCTCTTTTCCCCCGACGACAGCTTAATTTTACAGATAATATCCTGACATGTGGGGGGGGGGGCCGGGTGTCGCATCCAACACCAACCCTTTAGAGAAACCCCTGGACCAACCCCCAGGCCCCCCTCACTCATTCCGACGTTTACATGCAGTAGGATCAGTGAAATTACCGGATCATATGGACGTGGGATGAAATCTCCTCTTCTCTTACAATCATGGATCCACCACTTTAATGTTGTCGATAACATATTTAGGGTGTTCTGATTTTTCCTCGATTAAAAGCACACGTTTTCCATGTAGAGTAGAGTGGTTGAGGACTGGTTTGTGACCGTTATGCCTTCTTGGGGCGCGTTCATGCTTGATTTTGAAGGTAGAATGAGCGATTTGTAACGCTCGTCGTAAACGCTCATCGTAATCTAGCTCCACGGTGTACTGTTCATGCTCACTTCTCCAGGCAATTCTCCCTTGGTGGCCTTAATTGGCCTAGCAGCTGGATTCGCAACCTTGAAATGCGCATGCTATGTAGACCATGGTCCATGCGTAGACCCACTAGAGGTCAGTGCGTTGACCCCATTTAAACGCGTTTACAAATTGTAAACGCATCTTTTTGTGAGTTTACGATCGGCGATCGTGATCGCCGTTTTTCGGTGATTCTACAAAAGTAAGCATGAACGCAACAGTGTTTTAAACTAAACGCGTAACAGATGCCTGATTCTGGGCAGAAAAAGTGAAGCATGAACGCGCCCTTGTTTTATAAAACCCCTCGTCGACGAAGTCGGAGGCGATATACATGTAGTAAAGCTGCCGCACGTCCTTTCGATTTCGGAGTATACATACGTCAAAGCTCAAAGGTCACAGCCATTAAATATGCAAAAATTGCTCAATTAAGGAAATTGTACCCAGCGAGGGGATGATATACGATTTGCGTTGACTTCTTTTTTTTTTCTGTTAGAATTTAGATGATATGAGCCAAGTCCTTCATTCATATTTACCCACTACTCCCTCAGTCAACAGGTCAATATGATCTAGAAAGTATTATCATTTACTTTATCCGCAATGCCTACAGTCTCGATGGGATCAATCAAAAACAAACTAATCACCTCTGTCATTATCTATCAGTTATGAATAAACACCATTGAATCGGTCTCAAAAGAAGCCATGCACTATTGAAATTAGTTTTAATTGCAGGTGTCAAGACTTGTACATCTAAAACAAAATAAACGATATTGTGTTAAGAGTTTTCACTACGGCAACGATATTAATATAATTTGCAATGAATTGTTTATTCTCGAATAAGTTTTATTTGGTTGTTATTAGTATTCATTCAACATAATGTTGCTATCATAACAGATTGAGACTCTTAAGATCTACTCTGCTGATCTCAGTGAACGTCCCTCTGCATCACGTGATCTCGCTCAGTTCATCTGTAAGATAGCTCATCTGAAGGACCTGACACTCCGCGGTCAGTTTCACGATGACTTCTTCTCAACATCTTCATCGATGCCATTATCCGCAAAGGTATTGATTTGATCGTATATTTCAGGGCTCTCAACAAATCACTACATGTTTTGGATATACTAGAGGTGTACTTTTTCCTATACAGTGCGTCCCAGAAAAAACGAAACCGGTAATTATCGATGTTTTATCATAACTTGGTCACATATATAATTAATATTATTATATTTCACGCATGAGTGATTCAAATGAATTTGAAGAGAGGAAACCAAAAAGTCATTCGGCGGACGGTATCTGAATTTCAAAGGGAAAATCACATTTCTAGAAAAGTGAGTTACTGCCCTTTCATATGACACCTCAATCAGAAAAAAAATGAGCAAGGAATGACAAAGTTCTGTTTGTTTAAAGTAGTGCTTGCATTTCCATAATTTTATCAAACGAATTCGTTTTCACTGGCTTCCTGCCGTAGCAACAAGCAGAATTGACAAAAGACTTGACTCCGTTTCATTGACAATCAGCCTTAGATGAAAGACGTCATGCATGACTGTTTGTCGACGAAACGGAGTTAAGTCTTTTGTCAATTCTGCTTGTTGCTAACGCAAGTGTACAATTTTACTCTCCCTATTGGTACAACGTTAAGAGCTGGTACGAAAAATTGATCGTTTCTGAAAGTGGATGATAAAAGTAAACTTTCTGTCATAATATAAAAACAGAATGAAAATTATTAGATTAAAAGTGCATAATATACATGTCATATGACAATTCGAAGTGCTACGGAATTGCTAATGGTGAGACAGCTATTTCAATTGTGAATACTGATGAGACTAAATATTTAAATTTAAAAACCTGCAATATGAACAATCGAATCTCTTCATTCCCGTTTGTATTATTTCTGAAACCCTTTGGATATTGCAAGGTGATCTATGTATATTTGTTTTCACACTTTTCTGCTATGTAAAATTAATTTTTCAAATTACTATTTAAATCAGATGTCAGAATAATGTATTGCTTATGTAAATTAATGAGGATGGGTACTGTATCATGACGTAAGGTGTAACAAAATTTAAATAGTGCAATGTCAGCAATTGTGTATCTAACACAATGTAACTATTATAACAGATTAATACTTGGCATCCAGTATATGGATCACCCCCTTCCCATCCACCAGCCCTAACTTATTCTGACGTTTAATGGTATATAGGGTCAGTAAAATTACCGGATCATATGACCGGGGGATAAAATCCCCTCTTCTCTTACAATCATGGATCCACCACATAATGTCGTCAATAACATAATCAGGGTGTTCTGATTTACCCTCGATTAACAGCACACGTTTCCATGTAGAGTAGAGTGGTTGAGGACTGGTTTGTGACTGCTCTGCCGTTTGTTTTATTCTCTTTTCTTCTGTAAGACTTATGATCACGAGCCAAGTCCTTTATTCATATTTACCCACTAATCCCTCAATCAACAGGTCCATATGATCTAGAAAATATTACCATTACTTTTATCCGTAATACCCAGAGTACCGATTGGGTCAATCTAAAACCTATTGATCCCCTCTGTCATTATCTATCAGTTATGAATAAACGTCATTACCTTGGTCTCAAAAGAATCCAGGAACTACTGAAATTAGTAATAGTTTCAGGTGTTAAGACTTGTATATCATAAACAAAATTAACGTTATTGTGTTAAGATTTTTTATTTTATTATTGTGGCAGCGATATTATTACAATTTAAAACAAATTCTTGATTCTTGAATATAGTTTATTTGGTTGTTATTAGTATCCATTTAACATAATGTTGCTATCATAACAGATTGAGACTCTTCTCATCGGCTCTGATGATCTCTATGAACGTCCCTCTGCATCACGTGATCTCGCTCAGTTCATCTGTAAGATGACTCATCTGAAGGACCTGAGACTCCGCGGTCAGTGTCACGATGACTTCTACTCAACAGCGTCATCGATGGCATCATCTGCAAAGGTATTGAATTGATCGTATATTCAAGGACTCTTTCCTATATAGTCATACGAAAGAGTACAATTTTACTCTCCCTATTGGTACACCGTTAAGAATAAGCAGGTAGGAACAATTTATCGTTTCAGGAAGTGGATGCGAAAAGTGAATATCTGTCATAATACAAAATCAGAGGGAAGATTTTAAGATCTATAGTGAATAATATAAACCATATTTTAAATTTCATATGACTCTTCGGGGTGCTTTGGAACTGCTGATGGAGAGACAACTATTTTAACTGCGAATGCTGATGAGACTAAATATTTAAATTTAAAAACCTAAACAAATGAAAAATCGAATCTCTTTGTCCCCTTTTGAATTATATCTGAAACCCTTTGGAAACTGGAAAGTTTTCCATGTACTTTTTATTTCACATTTTTTCAATATATTTTACTAAATCAAATTTCAGAATATCGTATAATTTGTAAAATAATGAGGATGGCAACTGAATCTGATGTAATGTTAGCACTTGTTTATCCAATACAATGTAACTATTATAACAGATTAAGACTTGACATCCAGTATATGGATCGCTCCCCCCCACCACCCCTCATCATTCCGACGTTTAAACGTAGTAGGGTCAGTAAAATTACCGGATCATGTGACCGCGAGATGAAATCCCCTCTTCTCTTACAACCATGGATCCATATAATGATGTCGATAACATAAAAAGGGTGTTCTGATTTTTCCTCGATTAAAAGCACACGTTTTCCATGTAGAGTAGTTTGGTTGAGGACTGGTTTGTGACCGTTATGCCTTCTTGTTTTATTAAACCCCTCGTCGACGAGATCGGAGGCGATATACATGTAGTAAAGCTGTCGCACGTCCTTCCTTCTGTCCTTCCGTAACAAATCTGGTTTCCGTTTGATAACTTTAGTAATGTTTATCGGATTTTAATGAAATTGGATATGAAGGCACATAGTATTAAAATACAGCCTATGTTTGATTTCGGAGTATGTAGGTCAAAGGAACTCTCTACCCACTACCTTCCGAACCATCATAGACTTAATTTTCTTTCAATCTCAACTGAAAACCTACTTCTTTAAAAACGCTTTCTAATGCCATTTGTCTGTATTATTGTATTCATCAAAATTTAATTACATTACTGTACTTTGCCTTCATTTCTCTGTAATTGATGTTTATAATGATTGATTATTATTAATCTTGTCCTTATTTTGATATTTCTTTAGTTCGTGAATTAGTAGTTTTGTGTAATTTTGTTGTATTAATATTGTAAAGCGCATTGTTATTTTCTTCGAAGATGAAATGCGCTATAGAAGCCTAGGTTATTATTATTATTATTATTAAATATGCGAAAATGACTACTTAAATATACGCAAAATGTTTGTTTTTAATCCAAAAACGTAAGTAATGTTGTTGAATACATACGTCAAAGCTCAAAGGTCACAGCTCATTAAATATGCAAAAAATTGCTCAATTAAGGAAATTGTACCCGGCGAGGGGGTGCTACGCTTTGCGTTGACTTCTTCTCTTTTGTTCTGTAAGACTTTAGATCATGAGCCAAGTCCTTCATTCATATTTCCTAACTACTCCCTCAGTCAGCAGGTCAACATGATCTAGAAAATATTATAATTTACTTTATCCGCAATGCCTACAGTCTCGATGGGATCAATCAAAAACAAACTAATCATCTCTGTCATTATCTATCAGTTACATGTATGAATAAACACCATTGAATCGGTCTCAAAAGAAGCCAAGAACTATTGAAAGTGGTAATAATTTCAGGTGTCAAGATTTGTATATCATACCCAAAATAAATGATATTGTGTTAGGAGTTTATCTAACACAATGTTACTATACGGCAATGATATTAATATAATTTTTAATGAATTGTTGATTCTTGAATATAGTTTTATTTGGTTGTTATTAGTATTCATTAAACATAATGTTGCTATCATAACAGATTGAGACTCTTTACATCTACTCTGCTGATCTCAGTGAACGTCCCTCTGCATCACGTGATCTCGCTCAGTTCATCTGTAAGATGACTCATCTGAAGGACCTGACTCTCATGGGTCAGTATCACGATGACTTCTACTCAACATCGTCATCGATGGCATCATCTGCAAAGGTATTGATTTGAATTTTTTCTTCGGACTCTTAGCAAATCACTACATGTTTTTGTTATACAGGAGGTGTACTCTTTCCTATATAGTCAAACGAAATTGTACGATTTTACTGTTCAAAGTACTACACCGTGAAAAGGAAGCAGGTAGGAAAAGCTGAAAGTTTCGGGAAGTTGATGCGAAAAGTAAACTTTCTGTCAAATACAAAAACAGACAAACGTAATATTAAAGATTGATAGTAAAAACAATATTTTTCACAGCTATACTTCATCCAAATATATTAAAAAATGGCAATGGACGGTTTCTATGATGAACAAGAATTTATCACTTTAATTAGTTCTTTCAAAACTATATCTAGGAGGGGCTGTTGAAATGTCAACATTACGCATAACATTGTATCAATGCAGCCAGGTTAAACTGGTGATAAACCATATAAAAATATACACCAAGGGCCTGTAATAAGTTTGCACGACAGATTGAAACCCTTTTCATTGGAGATGTGTTTCTCAGAGGATAATCAATAATAATTAAAATATTAATAATAACAATAATAGTAATAATAATAATAATCGAATTCAAACAGCTCCTTTTCCAGAGTTTACAAGACGCTGTGTGTCAGCAATGATAACTTTGGCACCACGTGATCACTCCACGGGGTGAATAATGGCGGATCGAGAATAGGGACAAACGCCCCCCTCCCCCCTCCTTCGGCAAAACCCTATCTGGCATAATTATACAAAATAAGAATGGGTCCTTAATTATGCAATTTACCCCCCCCCCCCCCCCCCCTCTCCACCCACAACGGCACTTAACTGTCATAAGCCTTGCTTTTTCTCTCCATCTTACTACGTATCGAATATTTAGAAAAGATAAATACAAAACTCCATAGCGCTTACAAAAAAATAAACTCAAAGTAAATAGACCCATTAAATTACGAAGGAAAGACGTACTTTTGGTTGCTGGTCAGATAATTGAAGCCCCTCTGAAGTGTTGGGGGCCCCAACAATTTGATGGAAATATTTCACTTAAATTGTATCATAATGTAAAAGAGGATGTCATAAATATTGATAAAAGAATACAGCAGTACAACAGAAAACCAAAATTATGTATTCTTTTATCATATTTATGTTCAAATACATTTTTTTTTTGTGGGGGGGGGGGATCTTTGCAGAAGTCCTTTTTCACATTATGATATGATTCAAGTGAAATTTTGCCATCATATTTTTGTCGAATTTGTGGCTCCCAACACTTTCAATTGAATTTAAATCATTTATTTCCATATTCCAACATCAATTCATACAATATGTATAAAAAAAAGAGTCAATGGGCAATAAAAAACAAAAAAAATACGACATTTAAATCAAACGATTAACAAGATACAAAACAGAACAAGTATAATACATAATTCAGTACGAAGAGGGACTTTAAAGAGTACGAGGGCATCTGAGAAATATAATGACCCCTCCCCCTTTTGTTGTTGTTGTTGATTGTCACCAATCTGATCTGCCACTGCATTACGAAGCCCTACAAATAATCATCTTTATTTGTTAGCTTTATCTGTTTTATTGATATTCATTAAAATTTTCAATCGTTTAATCATTTACGGATGTTAATGTAGTGGAACATTCAACTAAAGCGAAATGTTTTCCAAAGGGATTCAAATAAAAAAAAATATCGAAATGTGACACCTTTAAAAGGAAAGGAATAACATGTAACTATATCATTGGTGAAAGAAAAGGCAGTACAGATTGCGTTAATATATATAACTATATTCTTATTCTCAGGTGTTATAATGCATTTGGGTGTTTAAATGAATTGTTATTTCATATAAATCATGTAAAACATGCATCATCATTTCGACATGACCATAATGGCAAGGAGCAAAAAGGTGTTACACCCATACAATGTCTTGTTTCGCCTATATTTTTCTTCAATGGGGGACGCGGCTACTTCGCCCGCCTTCCTCACGGTATGCCTATGCATTATAACACCTGCAAATACGAATCTGTTGAGACAAGACATTACTTCAAACGCTAAATTATATGGTGGTATATTAGTACCTGTAGACATGTTTCATATTAAATATCTGTTAATCCTGCAGCAAAATTTGACATCGGACATTCTTAAATGGCCCACTGTGCATCACAATTCAAGTACTATGATAAATTAACTCTTACTATATACATCGACAAAGGTTTAATGTACTAATCATGATATAACATTTGATTTTTTAAAAATCATTTTCAAAATTACTATTTCAGACTCTTATACATGTATGGCATGCCAGTTACATTTTATTTGAATATTGCATATACGGAGTACGGAATACTTGCATTTCATTTAACTGATTGTAAATTATTCAGAAGGTGTTCATCCTAATGTATGGCTAAATTAGACTGGTCTTCGTTTCATTGAATCTATAAACTGTACTTGCCTTTAACATATTACTATTGGGAAATTATGAATGATAAACATGTACAATTGTATTGCATGAAAGCAAATTTTTTTTTATTTCTTATAACTTTGACTATCATGCAACTTATACTGGCAATTGCAAAACCTTTCTCGCATTTGTTCCGCTCATGTCTTCTTAAAATCCTTGTTTATATTCTACAATACACATGAGGCTAGCATAATCCATTTTCATGATTTTTGTCGCTTTTCTTCATGAAACTTAAAAACGCAATTCAATATTTACCATCAATCGAACATTTGCTAGTGCACTTTAATTTCCTCTTTTTGTATGTACATTATCACGTCCAGAGTTTTAACACGAGCCCCACCCTGGCTGAGCTGACAGTGGATACTGACACACTAGAAGGATGGCAGGATTGTGGTTCGATGTTTGACAGTGTGAAGAAGATCACTATACAGGTACGGAGGACGATCAACTGTGACGTCATCCAGAGGATCCATCTACCAGGAGCAACAGAACTGACCATTCAAACACGTGTGGATGGATGGCGACCGGCTGGTTTCCACGAGGAGCCCACTTCACTACCCAATGCCCTCCTGATTATCTCCCCTCAGCTTGTCAAGGTGACATTCAGCGATCTTGACATTGGCAACAGTAAGATGGAACTAATCTTACAAACTTTCAGATCACCTCACAACCTCAAACATCTGAAGATTATCAGGTGAGACATTATGTCATTTGTTAAAAGAGTACTTTGATATGTTTCATTTCTTTTACCCCTCTCTTCTTCTCTCTTTCTCTCTCTCTCTCTCTCTCTCTCTCTCTCTCTCTTTTTCTCTCTCTCTCTCTCGTTCTTTCTCCCATCCGTTTTCCTATCCATAATACACTCAAGCCCCCCCCCCCCCCGAAAAAAAGTATACACTATTTATTTTAAGAATTTTCAAATTAAATAATTGAATAGTACTTATCTTTCATATCTCAAAATAAACATAAATTATTCCTTTTAAAGATGATTTGCATTTAGTTTCATACCATTCGCTCATGAGTGAGATTAGTCATTTAACAATAGTCTATCATGAAAGAAAATCGTAAAATTGGGGCATTTGGTCTTTTAAATTATTAATGAGCATTTCCATCTTGTAGAATCAAATTAAAACAATACGAAAAATCACGAGAAGCACGAAAGGAGAAATGCTGTATTGCGTCTATTTTGATACTGGTAGATTCATACGATGCGGGTCAGATGCGGGCGTGGATGATGTCATAATTGCGTGCAATAAAGATCAGGTCATGGAGGTGGAGGTGGAGCATGGCAAACCACGTCCTTCTCTCAAACTCTTACTTCCAGGCTTGCAATGCTCTTTAAGGTACTACATGTCCCATTAGCAGGTCAAACAAATGAAAAGGTTGAATTCCAACAGCATTTGAAAAACAATACTTAATATTAAAGACTTCCCTCAAAAAGAAAAGGTTTGAAAATGGTTTTTGGTGGTAAAATAACGACTATTGTCGAATCAACATAAGTGATTGCAATCACCTAAGTAATAGTCTGATTTTCAGACCCTGGTTGTAGAAGTATCGTTTCACATTAACAAAATGCTGTAATAGACATCTAGAAATAAGTGTTAGTTATTATGTTTAATTGTTTATCTCTGTTTTCATCGAGAATGAAAGGAACTGACACTATGTACCACTCATAGTCTCTCATCAATTATTATATGCAAAATGTAACAAAGAATTGACAAATGGCGTGCGGGTAGATTAATATTTCTTTGGAAATGTGCAATCATGAATGTTCAAAGGTGCCAATTGAATAATAGGCTTAGGTTACTGGATTAGCGAAGTGATAAACTGAAGGTATTTATACTATTTTTCATATTCCATGTTGGCTTATTTTGTTACATTATTCGCGCATGTTTTCTACGTATTAATTAACTGAATAACAGATATTGCCCATTTACATGTTGTAAAAGAAAATAAGTTCAATTTAATTCAAATTAAAATAGTAAAGATGGTTCTTTTTGACGTAAAGCTGTGTGATATTCAATCTCTCTTCTTTGCCCTCCTTTTACTGCTCTATGTTATTATTATTTAATGTAGCGCTGTTTGTATGTTGATGCACACATTTACACTTCTCTCTCTTTCTCTCTCTCTCTCTCTTTCTCTCTCTCTCTCTCTCTTTCTCTCTCTCTCTCTCTCTCTCTCCATCACTTTAGAGATGATTTCAGTGAGTAATCATAGAGCTGGCACCACACTCGATCTGACGAATCAGACGGAGCAGACAATCTTTGCACGCGAACAGGAAATGTGGGCTGAAATGAAAAGTGCCTCAAACACATCATCGGACTTTTTCTTTTACAATTGTCATGCAATCGATTTCAGTATTCATCCACTGAATCACGTTGACATTCATATGATATAGACGGATGTGTATGCTTTACATCGGTATTGCAGCTCTTGTGATTGTGATTTTGAATTCCCTTCATAATGTTACTCTCAGTGTTCATGCATTTAATATACTTTAAAGGGTGTTACGTGGATTTACACGGTGAAAATCTAAAAACTTGTAAAATATCATGATTGAACATTTCTTAAAAATATGACGGAAAAATATTCATTATAAGAAAAAATACAGTAATATTTCTATTCGAATTTGAATTGTGCAACTGGCAGAGCTTTAGTTACCACATCTGCTATGTAGAGAATGTACACGATGCGGAATTTGCCTAGAGTATGACTGCGTCAGCGACTGGGGTAGGCATTGACGTATCATAAGAGAGTTATATCGTACCGAAAAGTTAATGCAAATCAAACAGTGCAAACCTCTCTTCGAATTAAGGGTGTTATATCCTAACTGAATCACCTAGCTCGGTTAAAGCTCGGTTAAAGCAATCTAAACAAAACCTCGTGTGCAACAGACATTGCCAAAATGATGTCAGTACCATATTAGAATCAATTGTCTTTCATTATTTATTATTACGTTTTATGTAAAAACAGTTAAGCCATGTCAGAACCGAAATGGATGCTATAAATGAGAGACTATAAACACGGCAAACATGAACAAATGACATTAATTTGTTGAAATGTAATTAATTTGTTGAAATGTAATTAAATGTATAAATACAGAATATAACAGTAATGACAAACACAAAATAAAATGAACATATACAAAGAACAAAAAGAATAAACGAACGAACCAAATAAACAAACCTACAAAAAGTCGAAAAAAACATGGTGACCGTTTCTATTTGAACCCTTTTCTAAGCCAGGTAGGCCTAATCATACTATATAAGTACCCTATTTCTCGAAAACACAGTATTGGACAAGGTCATTAAATTTGCTAACTTAATTGCAGGCCTAATGTCTTTGTGCTTGATAATTTAAACCAAAAATATAGATCGATTAAAAAAAAAAGATTTCTTAAATTGACGATAATTTCAGCACCAGGCCTAATGTGATTCCCTACAAGCGCAAGAAGGTTAAACCTTTTGATCCACATATCCACATATGGGAAATGAAGGAAATACATTACCCTTCCAAAAAGGCCAATGAAGACCAGTTTTAATTCACAAACAAAATACTGTATGTATTTGAATTTGAAAATGAATTTTATTCGTAAATTTCATTCATATATATATGAACATTTTGTTTCACAATACATAAAACAAATATTTAACAAGAAAATCAACAAGTGGTATAGTTTCTCGAGTTATCACAAATTAACAATAACAATTGTAGCTCGTATATACAGTGGTAAATAATATTATTTTATCCAATATCTCTTGTGTATGAACTGTTGCATGTATCACATAAAAGTTTTCTTATGATTTATGATTTTCATTTTGAAAGGGAAAACAATCTTGTCTGATATATTTGAGTTGGTAATTTTGTCTGTTGATAATTTGTAAATAACGTAGCCAAATTGTATGTGCCTGTACAAAGAAGTGTCTTTGCAACGCAAGTTATAAATTACTGACACTTATAAATTGAGGCTGTATAAATGCATACTAATTCTAAATATCCAATCAGCTGTTTTTCTACAAGTTCAACTAGTGATTGTACACTATTACATGCAATGCAAGAACATTATTAAGAGTAAATCATGTGGCATTCAGCTTAATATATTTCTGTATTTATGGAACTAATATTTGTATTGTTCATTGTATAGCGCACTGAGACATTACCGCATTTTGCGAAAATATTCCAAAGCACAATTTATCACTAGTAATAGTAGCAGTAGTAGTTGATTTTGTTGTTATTGTTGTGGTCTTGTTGACGATGTTGATGTTGTGGCGGTATTACTATAAGTATTTGTATTGATTAACATGATTATCAATATCAAGTATTGCATTCGGTATCAGCAAAATATTGTTTACTGAAACTTGAGTATTTTATATATATTGATTAGATTATAAAGAATGTCGTTCGTCGTTACTTTACAATGTAGGTCTATTTTGTTGCATGCATGACTAACTAACTATATATGTGAGAAACCATTATCTTGAATTTAAACGTGATGAATTATATTCATCCTCATTTGTGTATTGTAACTTAAAGTGACAAGAATGTTTGCATGACATTTCAACGTAAATAATATAATGTGCCTTAAATTTGTCTACTTTATGTTTCTATCTGTTAGTTTATTGCGTATGTTCCAATTTATATGTAGTTTGGTGTATTTTAATGAGCATGGCTATATTTGTTGTTGTAATTAGTTTTCGGAATACAATTATTATGCATGACCATATACAGCGCAAAGGGACTTAACCGGCAGTATAATGCGCTGTATAAATAGATCCTTATTGTTATGTTGTTTAATGAAACCCCTTCTGATCCGAGAAATATACTATTTTGAACTTTGTATTTAATAGTCAGACGTTTGTCCACCTTATTGAAATAAAATTAATTCTATAACTGTTTAATTCAATAATTGTTACTCCAGTCTCTAATTCAGATATATAGGCCTATAACCCTCTTCTCTATAGCTGTCTCTCTTTCTCTCTCCTCATTATCGAGTTTTATCAATCATGGACCAGCGCAATTAACATTCTTTTTTTTAATTTACGGAATTTCTTTGCTTCTTTTTCCATCATCATCATAGAGGTGTCGTAGTCGAGTGGTTTCATCACTTGACTGGAAATGTAAACATCTTGTGTTCGAGGCCCTGCACGACACTCATATCAATGAGCAAGGCATTTAATCTACATTACTCCTCCCCACCCAGGTGTTTTAAGATAGGTACCCGGTAAGGATGCGATATGTGATATCATGGACCCAGGCGCGTACGCAGGGGGGGGGGGGGGGGGGGGGGGGGGTTAACCCCCCTTGAGTTTTTGTTATGTGTGTATTATATGTGTATTTTTTTACCAAACCCCCACCCCTTTTTTAGGTTACCCCCCCCCCCTCCCCCTTAAAAAAATCCTGCGTACGCCACTGCATGGACCTAATGTATTAGGTCCATGGTTATATGCTCTGTAGCTCGTGGGATATACCCCTGTATCCCATTGACTGTAGGCCACTGTATTATTCATTATCCCCATCGATCTTAAATCGATTGTTGTGGTATGCCTACATGCAGGCGCGTACACAGGGGGGGGGGGGGGGTTTGGGGGGTTAAACCCCCCCTTTGGTAATTTAATGTGTGTAAAACCCCCCCCCCCCCCCCCAAAAAAAAAAAAAAAAAAAAAAAAAAAAAAAAAATCCCCCTAAAACCCCCCCTTTTAGTTTTTAGTTTGTTTGTTTGTTTTGTTTTGTTTTTTATTAAAAAAAAAAAAAAAAAAAAAAAAAAAATTATCCCCATGGCTGACCTGAAACAGGTGACCTTACCCCCCCCCCCCCCAACGGAGCAAAATCTCAAATTTTCAAATTTCGAGACCAAAAAAAAAAAAAAATGTGTCCTCTTACCCCCCCCCCCCCCCCCCCCCACTTTCCTTTCCTTCTAATTTCCCGGTTCTTTCTTATTACATTATCCTTTTCTTAATTGTCTTCTTTTGCACTTCCATGTTAATATACGAATGTGTTAACTAATTTCATAATGGGAGTTCATTATCTTTTTGTGTATTACCTTTATCATTTCATGATATTCTCTTTTTCTTCTTACACCCGTTCCTACTTCTCTGTTCTTTACCTCGCATCAGCCCTCTTTCCCTTTCTCTCTTTATCCTTCTCCTTCTTCTGACTCATTTCCTTCTCTCTCACCTCGATCTGCTGTCCTTCTTTCTCTATCACACCTTTCCCCGTTTACTCTCTATTAGTGCTCATGCTATTGGTTATTCTACTTTTTAATGTCTAAGATGTCGACGTCTACATATATATTTATCATTCATGTATTCCGATTATTACTGTTTTTGTTGTTTACATATGTGTTTGTATTGCTTGTACAAACAAAATCCCGTGTAACATTTCCATGTTTTTAACTTGGACAAATACAAATTGAATTAAATTGAATTGAATTAAATTGAATTGAATAGACACTGCATATAGTGATTACCAATGTGACGATATGTAAAATTGATGAAGGATTTGATTTCTAGCATTCATTTTTGTATGACATAGTAAACCTCTTCTGATTTACATATATTTCATTATATTTACCAAGTATTGCTAATGACATAACTGTATAAGTGTTATCATGAATTCATTGACTCATATTGTAAGATAATATGTTTTGAGTTTTAATGATACTTTTAAATGCTCTAAAGTCTCAAGGGTTGCTCGCATCTATCCTGGGTAATGTTTTCACAATCATAGTAAAGAATATGTTTTGTGTCAATATTTGGTTAAATATTATGATGACATATTATGACAGAATGGGCACCTTTCATGTATATGAACAGTACAATAAAATCTTAATCTGAAACAATTCGACGATTATAAAGGTTTTTATTCTTTTATTTTCAAAGAGTGTCTTGTATATTTCTTTGTATATGCATATGGAAATAGGGTAAATGTTTTACTAAAATAGGGCTAATGTATAATACTTAATAGTAGAAAGAAATTACAGATGAGAAAGGTGATGATGATGATGATGATGATTAATATTCTTATTATTATTACAATAATTATCTATTCAGCATAAACAAAATCAAGAAAAAAGTGAATAGCGGAGCCAAACAAAAGAGTCACATGGATGCCGAGAAAGGAAAACGATTAATAATAGCTATAATCTGTCGTCTGTTATAGATTCAACGGACAATAATTTGTAAGTATAATTAAAAACATTAGTGTTAACCTTAAAATTAGAAAAGAAAGGAGTGAGACAACTATCATTATGTTCATACAAAGGCCTATATTGCTCTAGATAATATAAAAGAAGTGAATACGTGTCGTTGCTCAAGCAGGACATTGAACATGGATATGAAGAGGGCGCTATGCAAGTGTATACATATTAAACATATTGAGGTTGGCCACATTTTATGGGACTGACTTGGATTAAAAGGAAATCGCATTGTATGATATAAGGTCTTTTATAATGCATTCCAATTTTCAACATTTGGGGGTGGCTGATAATATGGAGCTGACTTGGAAGAAATAAAAATAACAATATAATAATGGGTTTGTTTTTATTCAGTAACACTTAAGAATAACATCAAGGGAAATTGATTTGCAAGGATCCGAATAATATATCGTAGGGATCATAAATTGCAAAGTATGAAAAACATAAATACATGTCATTCTCTTGCATAGCCAATTAATATCGGGTCTTTGGATTTATTTTAACTCATATTAATGCATTGGACTTGAAGTTTTGAGAGCCATGTCTTAAGAGATGAAGACACAACATCAGTCTTGAGATCAATGGGAGAGTATCACAACAACGGCAAGATGTGTGGATGGCAGAGCTATGGAGCCTTTGGATGCGAGATTTTACATTTAGATATTTGAATTAAACGATGTCAGAATATCATTGTTTAATATGAATTGCAGACCGAGTTGCTTCGCAATTCGTGAGGCGTTCAAGACTAGAACAAAACTAATGTAAAGATAGTGTCGCCTATAGAAGAAATAAAGTGTACCAGTTTAAGTTTTGGAGGCGTACATAATATTCCTCATTTTAAGTTGCGGAAGAAGAATACACAGAAAAGGAAATTTGATAGAAAGAAAACAGTTGAAATCAGTTATGATATATCGATATTCCTACTCTTTACAATCTGATCGAATGTCATATATATATTTTTTTCTTCTTCATATTCATCTATACATCTACTGCGTATTAGAACGAAAACGCCCCCTTTTCCAATAAAAGAAGGGAAAAAGGAGGAGTTCAATTTGTTTACAAAAGAATCGAGAAGTTGTGTCAAATAACATCACCCACCGTGAGCGACTCTTCAATAGGAGTAGCTCCATATCAATAGCTAGTTTATGGATTTCTAACTGCGATATTCTTTGTCCGCATGTTCTCGGTTTTCCCCCGAGTTCCCCGTTTTCTCTTTCTTTTGTCTGTTCCCCAGCTCACTTCAGGCCTATTTCCCATCATAATGTATACGCAATATCCCATGAAGAGAGAGAGAGAGAGGAATCGTAATAGAGAGCTAAAAAGAGAGGGGAAGAGAGAGAGAGAGAGAGAGAGAGAGAGAGAGACGAATACTGCAACAATAAACCAATTTAGGCCATCTAATGTATTTCAGTTCATGGGAAATGAACAGCAGAACCCCTATCAATTATTTCACTTTAAAGTTTATTGCCATCTATATATGGACGAAATCTTCCATGTGATATATATGTTGTTATGCCTTGTAAACCTTGGGCAAGTATTTTATTTATTTTTTAATATATGCACGCATGATATCAGTGAATAGGTGATTAACGTGATTGTTGATGAACTGCAAAAGGTACGGTCAGCAAAGTTTCGCTATTTTGATTAAGGCAAATATTGTCAAAAGTTGTTGGGCAGCAATGATTAGGTTGCACTTATTAACAGTCCGTCTAAATCGGTTGGAGTCAGTAAGATTTGGTAGCTGTTTACACCGAATTCACATCTACATTAAACAATAATATTCTTTTGATCTGCTAGTCAGTATAGTTCTTTATCCATTTGTAAATTAAAGAGAACCATATGAGAAACCCATATGAGAAACCCGTAAAATGACAAGATTATACTAAAAGCTTTACGAAGGGTCGGGGGCAGGGTGTGGTGGTTACAGCTCCCCCTCCCCATCCTACAATTTGAAATATTCCTATCAATAGTATGTCAGCCTATATTGAGGCAGAGAGATCGATGCGCGAGTTTGCAAGTCTGTATCTTATCACAGATAATTAAATAAAAGTCTTACCACATCAAGATGTTTTTTCGGCTCGACCGCAATATTTTATAACCTGGAACATTTGATATTGAGGCAAAGGGTGTAAGCCCCCTCGAAAAACATGTGCCTGTAAAGCTGTATGATTCTGGGAAAGTCTAAATAATATTATTCCGTAAGTTTTCCAGTTCACACGAACAAACCCTTGTTGTTGTACGTAACACTGACTGCAAAATGAGACTACAATATGCACTGCACTTAACCCTAATAAGGCCGGGGGGGCATTATGCCCCCCCCCCCCCTCCACGATTTTCTGATTGCTCGGGAACGCATATGGATGGCGCCCCGCCGGTCGCTGACTTTTTTCTTTCGAGTCTTATGCAACTTTTAAAAGAATTTTTTTGAAAATCGGACCTACGGTTACAAGGTCACGTGATCTTTTGTCTTTGCATGTCAGCCCGAAAATCGCTCATTTTCGTGATTTTTGTACAAAACATATGGAAAAGTCATTTTTCCTAAAAACAGATCAAAATGGGTTATTGGGTCTTGTTTAAAGTTTAGGTGGTTGTTTTGGGAGTCAAAATAGTTGAATTGGAGTAAGAAATAAAATAAAACAACAAAAACAATGAAATACATAAGTTAAACAAACAATGAAATACATAAGAAATTATCAAAACAAGGGATAACATAAGGAATAAGCTGGCTCTTCCGAATATTTGTGTTGTATTATTATTCAGAATGGTCTAATGAATATATGTAGTGAAAAAGAATGCTTAAAGGTATTACAAAGTTTTGGTATGGGGTCATGAATTTGGTTCCAATTAACATATTGGAAGCATATGCGTTCCTACAATATTCATTGATCGTTGTCGCGGTTGAAATCGAGTCTAAAGTTATGAAATTATAAATAATAAACTCTTTATGTTGTATAGCTCCCTCTCAAGGTCAACATATTAATTTAGCTATGAAACAATGTTTCTTTACTAAAATCGACCGATTAGCTATTCCCGTTTGGAAATTGTATATCACAACTACATATTCTGAGATTTTCATGGTCGCAGCTACCATTGCACGGCCATAGGCGCCATTTGAAATTTATCAAAATTTACCGGGAGCACCGGTAAATTTTTATATTCAATTTTTCTCGAAAACTGAAGTGTTTTAGGGACTAATTTTTTTAGTGCTTATAATACATCCACAGGGGCATCCAAATATATCAAAATTGTAAAGATTCACTATCCACCCAATTTTCAAAATTTCCCAAAACTTTGTATTACCTTTAAATATGAATAATATATGATTTATGGGTAAAAATGCGATTTATATGACTTTATTTGCATACATTACCATATATATGCAAATGAGTGAATTTTTCAAAAAAATGAAATTATCATATTATTCTATACACTTCACTTGACATGCGTGCAAATTTTCGCGGTGATCAGCCGCTACGCGGCCGAGATCTTAAGGGGCGGCCATAATGCCCCCCCCCCCCGGCCGTACTAAGACCTCAAATAGCCCGGCCTTTTCAGGGTTAAGCTGTTGTTTTATACAGCCAGAGACCGATACATCTAGGCTCTGCTCAAGACTTTAGGGTTTTGGCAGAGTGTCAAATTAGAGTCTGTGCTAGCAGACTATACATTATGCTACAGTCTATGAACTTGATATGGGATACGGGTAGCATACCTCCCAGTCTGAAACACTCTATCCTAATACCTGTGTTAAAACAGAATAAAGACCCCCAAAAGGTATCGTCGTACCGACCCATAGCACTTTCCTCATGTTTTGCCAAGATACTAGAACGGATTGTGAAGAATAGACTCCAATGGTATGTAGAAAAGAACAATATACTTCCTCCCCTCATGACTGGCTTTCGTAGTAAACGTGGGGTCACGGACAACATTGTACTTTTAGAGAATGCCACCCAAAGAAGCATTAATGTTGGTGAATATACATTAGCAATATTTCTCGATATTGAAAAGGCGTATGATAGACTTTGTATCAAAGGCCTTATTTACAAACTATCAGTACATGGTATTACAGGTAATATGCTCGAGTTTCTCTATAACTATCTGAAAGAGCGGACTTTCCAAGTAAAGATTGGTAAAGAAGAATCAAAATTATATGAAATGTACAACAGCCTCCCCCAGGGGAGTGTCTTAAGTCCTATATTGTATAATATCATGATGAGTGATATTCCAACAGATGAATTAATCACCACATCTATTTATGCTGATGACTGTGTCATCTGGATGTCAGGTAATAACATAGAAATTATTTCAAACAGAATACAGTGCTATCTGAACACATTGACTGAATGGTTTACTAAATGGGGCTTTCGCCTTTCACAGAGTAAATCCTTTCCAGTGTTATTTACTAAAAACAATAAAGCAAAATACCCAGAACTGAAATTAAACAACGACGCACTTTTATTCCAATCAAAGAAGCATTTCCTAGGACTTATATTTGACAAAAGACTTTCATGGAAGACGCACATAGATGCCGTAGTCCTTAGATGTAAAAAGAAACTGAACATTCTTAGGTGCCTTACTGGGACTACATGGGGAAGCTCCTCGAAATCCCTGCTAATGGTATATAGAGCATTGATTAGATCGTTATTAGATTTTGGTTGTGAAGCCTATGACAGTGCGGCTCAAAGTATAAAGAAATCACTTGACTCCACTTGGGAGATTTCAATGACATGGATACCGATTCTCTAGCATCCGAAATCGATTTTTCCCAGATTGTTGACAAACCTACGAGAGGCGACAACGTCTTAGACAAGGTCCTGACAAATATCGCTGATGATTACAACCGACCAGCAGTCATCAACCCGATTCGTAACAGTGATCATAGAACGATCATTGTTTCTCCGAAGGCCACTATTCCCAAACCGAAGCGACAGAAGATATCAATCCGCCCCATTAGAGATTCTTCTATCAGGTCCTTTGGCCAGTGGCTGACCTCTGTAGATTGGAGTTGGCTACTTGATCTTGAAAATGCTGCTGATATGCAGGTATCATTTCAAGCTGAGCTAACCACGGCTTATGAGAGATGCTTCCCTCAGATACATTTGTACGGAGAGAAGATGATAAGCCTTGGATGAACAATCGTATTCGTTCTCTGATCGACCAACGCCAAGCTGCCTATCAATCAGGAAACCTTCCACGTTATAGCCAACTCAGAAAGCAAGTAGAGCGGGAAATTAAAGCTACCAAGAGCAAATTCTTCCTTGGAAAGGTGTCACACCTGAAGAAATCACAACCTGGGAAATGGTACAAGGAGATCCGTAACATTACTAGTGTAAAAAAGACATCAAATAAGCTAACTGGATCTCATATGGCACCCGCCGAGCAGGCTGACTGGATAAACTCCCACTTTGCGAATGTCTGTTCCTCCCTGCCACCCCTGGATCGCAAGTCTCTTCCGGCGTACTTGCCAGCTGATTCACCACCGGAAATCCAACCTTACCAAGTGTACAATAAATTGAAGAAACTGAAGATCTCAAAGTCATCTCATACTAATGATATTCCTTTGAGACTTGTTCGTGAGTTTGCTGTCGAATTATCTGTACCATTATCTATCATTTTCAATTCCTGTCTACAATCGGGTATGTTTCCAGAGTATTGGAAAATCGGTAACATC